TGTCGCCTACGAAGCGGTGAACAACCTGAGGTGATAACTCTAACTGCCGGTTGAGCTTAGCATTCTGGGATTTCCACTCAAATTGCGAAGGATAATAACTAAGTATGTACTAACACAATAAACAACAATGAAAATAAATTTCTTAACTTTCTATTGCAGTCCAAACATCCTTTTGTTAAGCTTACTGGATGAAATTCGCTTGAATCTCTTTAGAAAACTTTTCTGGATGACTGCCTCATAAATACGGCAACTGTTTGTAGCTCAGACTACCAATTAGTAGTTAAAAATTGATGTATTTACAAATGTTATTTCATTTTATGCTCTCGCCTTTCGTTTCATTTTAACAAACTTGTATATGCTGAAGTTTTTTTTTTTTTTTTGAACACATATGTGTACATATGTACATATGTATGTATGTATGTATGTAGAGGTATGTAGGTACTCTTATATTTTGAAGCACAACAAGAGCAACGCAGTTCTGGACAAGCGGGGCCCGAGCCCACCTTTTGACAAGGGCATAATTAAAGTGTAACAGGAGTAAAAGCAACGCCCAGTAAACGTACCCAAAACAAGCTCCACCCAATAACAAAAAAAATACAAAAAAAAAATGGAAAACAAAAAAAAACCTTGTTACAGCTCCCAACGACGTCGAAGTGAAGAAAGAGACGAAGGCGCAGGAAGGCGGCAAGTCGTGGCAAGCGAAGGCAAGCGAAGTCAAGGGGAGACAAGGGGAAGCAAGGCCCACATAAAAGAGAAACCCACTCTATGGGGTGAAAACAGGTTGTTACTTCCTTGCAAACAAGGTTCCGTTACCGTTATGCCGCTATATAGTATGCATATCTGTATATCGTTGTGTGTGTGAGTATATTTTTGTCTGTAGCTGGCGTATAGAAGAAAAGCACGTTATTGCCAATTTAACTTACATTGTGCATGTGTCTTTAAACAAAGATTTATGTACCCACTTGCATGCATACTCATAGCTACCGAAGTAATATAAATGTACGTGTGTGTCTGTGTGTGCTTACAGTGGTTGTAGAACGCTCCTCTTCCAGACGTTATGCTTAATCATTGGGTTTTTTTTCTTAACAAAAAATTATATTTAAAATAAAAAATTAATAATCAATTATTTGATGGCGTTGAATAAATAACTCCAGCTCAATTAATAGAAAAAATATTAAACTACTCAAAATCAATTTTAAAGTACATCTTAAAATTCTAGAAACCGGTTGATAACATTTTTTTTTATTATGATGAGCTGCTTGAGATCAATATACTCAATACTCGTATACTTGGTGACAAATGATCTTTAACACATTAATTAATTAGTAATCTTTAAGTAATCTTTACAAAAAGAAAAGAGAAGCATTTTAGATTTTAGATAAATATATAAATATAAATCTGTCTGAGATCTTATGTTTTTTGTTTAACCAGTGTTACTAATAATAATAATCCGTTAGCAGAAAAAAAATGGCTGCAAACATAAGATAATAATTACAAATTTGCAAAAGGCAAATGAAAGCAGTTTAGATTGCGCACAACATTAAAAATTAAGCAGCCAATTTAGTATTTAGACATTTCTCAAATCGTTACCAAATTACACCACTGTATGGGCTGCTTTCTGTGTGTGTGTGTGCGGGTGTGTGTGGTGTGTGTGGGTGTGTGGTGGTGTGTGGGTCAGGTGTGCGGGTAATAACTTGCTATAGATGTGAGCTGTTCTTCTTGTTGTTGTTGTTGTTGGGGACTACGTGCCGAGTTGCCACTTAAATCAGCATAATGATATGCACTTATTGTTGTGGCAAATTTGTTAGCGGAAATGCTGCGAGAAACCGCCGCAACAGAAGCAGCGCACCCAACCGCAACACAGCCGGCCACCGCCCGCCACCCGCCAACCGTCGACCGTTGCTTGCCTCCCTGGCGATGTCGATTTCTTCATTTGCCTAATACGAGTCGACGCCATCATTAATCTAAAATATGGCAAAGACACACGCATGTACACACACACACACACACACACACGCACACACACACACTCACACACACAGACGAATAACGATGTGCATGTAATTATGCTCAGCCACACGCACTCACTCACTCAAAACACATCCACTCACTCCCACACACTCATACACTCACACACAGATACACACTCACACACATACACTCACACACACACATACGCATACGCATTTGCGTAAGCCTTGTTAATCGTGACAAAAGCTTATTGCGGGTTATTTGGGCTACTTGTTTCACATCCGGCGTCAATGTCGCTGCCGGCAAAAATCAACACTGCGAACATGTTTGGAGTTGTGTGTGAGCGTGGTATGTAATACAGTTATATAGGCAAGCATATGTGTGTGTGTGTGTGTGTGCGTGCCTGGTCCCACTGGCACACGCTGTCATCCCAAGTAGAAGCGCGCGTCACTTGCACACACATAATAAACATTTTAAACATTATATTCGTGTTTAGCAGCAACATCAACAGCAGCAGCAGCAGCAGCTTCTTGCCTTGTTGCTACTTCTGTTTGTGGTTAATGCTACACCCTTTATTATACCCTTCCAGATGGCTAGAGGAGATTCCTGGCTTTGTTCTTGATCAGCAACACCAGCCGAGTTTATCCAGCTACATTCCATGAAATGAATAACTATTTGAGTCACGAAAATATACTACCAAGACTAAGATACCGACTAATAATTATGCTCTTAACCTTTTTGCAACAAATTATTAAAAATTAAAAAAATACACTCAGAAAAAACCGACTTGGAAACTAGAAAACTTGTCTGTTTTTTTTTTTAGAAATAATTTCTAAATATACGAACAACAATTTCACAAATTTGAAAGGTTTTCTTTATTTTTTAAGGAATATATTTCGTAATAATATTTCTAAGAAGTAGAAATGAAAAACGTTGTTTTTACAAAAATCCTATTTCAAATGCATAAAATAGTAATGGAAATCAACGGTTTTTTGAAATATACTGTCTTAATAATAAGCTGAGTTGCCAAATTTTTGGCGAAAGTTCAGATTGATCTTTTTGGTAAGTGTAATTTTTACCAATTTAAATTGAACTGTGTGAATCCAACTAAACTTCAGCCTGCAAGTGTATATAATCTTCGATATGACTAAGATATCTGATTTTCTTATTGTTGTTGTTAGTATATATGCAAGTGGGTGTTTGTATATATATGCGGGGGTGTGTGTGTGTGTCTCGTTCGTTTTCAGCAAAATTTACGGGTTTTAACGAATAATGGCGCTTGTGGGAAATGAACGTTTTGTGTTCGCTTTTGCTTGTCATCGCTGCGCGCCAAACACATTCGCAACGCGTTCCACACAGCATTCACCACTTTATCAGCATTTTACTTTTAGCCGTTATTACCACACACACACACACACAAAGTTCGCCCACTCTCAGTACATTAGCGCTCAGGCACACACTTTTCCCACACACACACACACACATAAGGACACACGAGCATACACGCATCTATGAGTTTTGCGACTCTCCAAGGAAATTAAAAAACAACTAAAACAAATTAACAATGTAATGACAAAGTTGCAAGTACATACGTATTTACAATATATTCCAGACAAATATACAAATACAAACAGTAAACATATATTTACAGTGGTTGTTTTCCAAGGCTCTGCTCATTTTATAAATTTTAGTACAAATTTATTTATATTAATTATAGAGTAATATTTTACAAAAAGTTAGAGATCATAGAAACTAGTGAGATTTATCAGGTTATCTTGCTAAATCCGGTTATATAGCAAAACTAAATTTATAAGTATGTATATATATAAGATACATTTTAATAGCTTTAGAGAGATAACAGATAAAAATTGCCCTATCGATTTGGCAAGTGATGCTGATCGGGAATATAAATGCCACATAATACAGACAGACCATATCGACTTGACTAATTATGCTGATTAACAATATACATATACCTTATTAGATCGGACACGTCCCTTTCGGAGCGTTACAAAAATTACGACAGCATTTAAAATTCAAATTGACCAACAGAAAAGTAAATGAAATTATAACAATCAATCAGAGAGCATTATTTGCATATTTTTGCAAATAAAAACAGCACTTATAAAAATTAAAAATGCTTGCAACCACTGTATCAACAATTACTTATACATATATGTGCACACACACACACACACAAACACACACACACATTCATATGCATATGCTGTGGCTTCTTGTAAACACTCGCACAGCTGGCAGCTGGCAGCAGGCTAATAACAAATCAAGCATTTACCAAAAGAAAAAAAAATTGAATTACCAACAATGCCCGCCCAGTGCTTATGGGACACGCACACACACAACACACGCAGACACACACTCAGAGGCCAAACAACACACACGCACACACCCAATGACTATGTTAAGTATACGCCATGGAATCGAGAAATTCGCACTTGCACTTGGCAAACGCTTTTAATGATGATCGATTTGGGTAAACAATGAAATTTCCGCATTCAAATTTTATTGCTGGCAATCAGAGGCTGCTTCCTGCTCAGAGTTCGCCTACACAATAAGCTGGTAATAGTAATGGCAATGGCAATGGCAACGATAATACACCGACGTACATACATACAAATATATATTATCTACTTAAATTGCATTAATCTATCAAGTGGGAGAGAGAGTGCCGCCCTTTTGCTGTTTGCTTGCTAATTTTCAGTTGAAATTAAGCGATTGTTATCTTTATCACATCCGATTTACATACGCATCATCCGCTGACATCAATATTTGCAGTAATTTAAAAAAGCGCTACGATATTAACTTGAGCCACCCTTTTTGAACCGCCCAACAGCATAAACAGCTGTCTTGAGTTTAATACCAAATATGTCATTTATTAGAACTTTGAGGTTTATTTAGCTTAACAGTGCTACGGTCACACTTACAAGCATTTGTAAACAAATGTCGAGCGTTGCCAGACCATCAAATCGTACAATAATATCACAAAATTCGACAAACAAATATTTAAACAAAGCACTTAATTCTTAATTGTGTTAAATAATTAGTAACGCACTATTCCTTGCCGCCAGCTGCAAAAAGAAGAATATAACCAGCCAAAGCAGGAGCGCCAGCAAACATTCCAATGCACTTTCTCCAGCTGGTGCAAAACCAGTCTTGCCGCTTTTGTTGTTGCTGTGTTTTGACATCTATGCGATATCAATAGAAAAAGAGAAGAAAAAAAAAACGTACTGTTGTCGTTAGCAGACTACTAAGCACCTGTGTGAGCAACAACAACATCAACTTTGTTGATTGCCGTGTTTTGCTCCGTTTTATTGGCATGGCCGAGGCGACAATGGAACAACGACAGCCACAGTCACATCTTGCCCACTCTTGAGCACGTTTCGCATCGAATTCTCTCTCGCGCAACAAAAATTCTTTAGTTGTTTTTTCTGTTTTTTTTCTTCTTATTGTAATTTGCATAAAGCTGCCATATGCATAACTCAGCGCTGAGCATGTTTCTCAAATTGAGTCACAACGCAATTTTAAGCTAAACGTAAGTTTGACGTTGCCAAATACACAACAAATACAAAAAAAAAAATCATTCTAACGCCACTTTCACATTAGGCCACACTTAAAGCAGACACGACAAACACATTTATATATATATATATATCTATATATATAGACCACTTTAAGAAGATGTCAAGCATTGAGGAGAAAGTGCGCTGCATATTGAATGGCTCCGATCTGGGCGATATAACGCAAGAATTATGCGACTTCTCGCTTAAAGAGCAAAATGCCACGGCGGAGGCGCAGGGTGTGCAGCCATCAACTGCCTCCGATTTTGTGCCCAAAGTTGGCCAGACGATCAATTATATTGTGGCCTGTGTGCTGTTCAATGAGCACGACGAGCTGCTCATGATCGAGGAGGCCAAGCCCAGCTGCGCAGGTGAGTAAAAGAGACACACACTGAAAAACACATGGCCATCTGATCCAACTCTCTCTCTATTTGTCTCTTCCACTCTTTGGCTGTCTGGCCAGGCAAATGGTATCTGCCCGCGGGTCGCATGGAAAAAGGTGAATCCATCACGGAGGCGGCCGCACGCGAGCTGTTCGAGGAGACCGGTCTCAATGCGGAGATGACAACGTTGCTGGCCGTGGAATCAGCCGGTGGCTCCTGGTTTCGTTTTGTGCTAACGGGTCGCATTACGGGCGGCCGTTTAAAAACACCATCCGAAGCGGATGCGGAGTCGATACAGGCGCTCTGGCTGCGCGATCCCAAAGAGGTGCCGCTGCGTGCCAACGATATACTCAACATTATCGACATCGGTCGCGCCCATCATCAGCATGAGAAGCAGACAAAGGCCGACAAGCAATCGCAGTTGCAGCAGTGGCATGCGAATATTCTGCCCACACGTTATCCGCACAAGCACAACTATTTGCGTGTGCTGGCCGTGGCACGGAAGCGTGCCACCAACTCGATGAACATACTGATTAGCGAGAAGAATGCCCATCATTTTCCCACTGTGGAAATGCATCCGAATCGCAGCCTGCACTCAACGTTGCGCAAATTCATGATTGAGATATTTGGCGCTGAGCTGCCGCAGCATCGGCCACATGGTCTTCTCAGTGTGGAGCATGCGACAACTGGCGAGGCGGACAGCGATGGACTCTGTCTGAATCTATTGGTTGCGTTCCGGCCACCGCTCGAAGAGATTTCGCTAATTGGCAAATGCATTTGGCAGGAGCTCAGCGCGCCGCTGGACGAAACGCTGGCCAGAATTTTGAGCAGCAAACATGCGTCGATACCACTGAACGTGATACGCTAGCTGCTCTAGTTAACTACTTCTAGCCTAATATATATTTCAATGGTGCAAGCATATATATATACATATATATATTTATTTATATATATAGATATTCCCTATAAGTAGACAACTTCAATTGCCACTAAATCGTGCAAATCTTTGTGCATGCATGTTCAATTTTAAGAAAGTCTTATTTCATTACAATTAAATGTCTGTACAATTTCCGTAATATTCCAGATTATATATCTGTATTAGAGAAACGCTCTACTAAATATTGTGCGGTATCAATTGAAATGCCTTCGAAATTGGCTAAATTGTTGGCCCAAAGCCAAACATATTTCGCAGTTAGTTACTAAATGCACAGACACATTTTATTTATACAATAAATGCAATCGAAATAATTCCCATAAAATCTTGCTTGTGTGTGTGAGTTTGCCTACTTGTTGTGTGTGTGTGTTGTGTGTGTGATTTGGGTTGTATCAAATATTGTAACAGTTGACTAGGTCAAATTTAGGTCAAAGTAACATGCACGATAGGAATAAATCCGCTTTAGCCCTTCCAAACGGAGTTGAACAGATCCATAAAGGAGTCATAGATCATGAATGTTATGGCCACATCGAGACACACACGACCCAGACGCGGCACGGTGCCCTTGTAGAATGCGCCCAAGCCCTCGTTCTTCATTATTTGCATTGCACAATCCGCCGTATTCTTGTACCTGGATGCCTCCAGACCCTGCATGCGCGTCTTGACCACATCCAACGGTGTGTTGCCAAACACTGAGGCGGCACCAGCAATCGCACCGAAAACGCCCACAATCAATTTTGGCACTGGCTTATTTTGATCACCACCCTGCGATGAGATGAGATATGATGATTATTATTAAAGAGTGATGCACACAACACACAAGTTGCTCATTGACTTGGTTACCTTGTACATATCCTTCAGGGATTCGATGACAAAGAAGCGAATGGCTTGGTTGGAGCCCTGCTTCATGATCGTTGGTGTGAGACCCTTGTAAATGCCACTGATACCCTCCGCCTTGACAATCTGTCCGACGCCATGGGCAAAGCCCTTAAACTTGGGATTCGCACTGCGCTGATCATTGATGAACTTCACCTTGATCGTCTCCATGGGCGTGACAGCGATGACAGCCTCACAGACGCCAGCACCCAGGCCGCAGAGCAGCTTGCCCGCTGTGCTCAGCTGGCCCGAAGAATCGACGGCGTGTGAACGCAGGAATTCAAATGCACCAAATCTGGAAGCGAACACAAATCAAAATCAAATTACATTCAGAGGAGTGAGCTGGAAAACTGACCTGGCTGCTGATTTGGGTATGCTGCCGTACAGGAGGACGCTCAGACCGCGATAGAGACCAAAGAATCCCTTCTGTTGCACCGTCTTCTTGACACAATCGGCAATGCCGTTGTATCGCTTATTGGCCCCCTTCTCGTCCAGCTGCAGTTGCGTTTTCACGTATTCGGTGGGATATGTTATACAGATCTCAATGCCGCCAGTTATGCCACCGGCAACGATACCCTTGAGTCCCTTGGAGCCGCCAGCTCCCGCGGCGGCTCCTCTGTCGATCATCCAGGGACGACACAGAAAGGGGCTAGGTAACCTACGATCCATATTAATCTGTGGACATTGGTGTGCATCGGTTAGTGAAGAGTTTTTAAACTGATTAGACTAGAAACAAAATTTTTATTTTTGATTGTTTTTTCAAAATAAATAACAAGTTGGGAATCTGTATACATGTGTGTGTAGGCAAATAGTAGGCGCATACAAAATTGAATGGCTAACAAGAGCAGCCGCTAGAAAATCACTTCATCACTTTCAGAATTAAGAATCATAATATTCAAGGCATTATACAATATTCAAGCAGACAATTCTTTTGCTAGTGTCTTAATTATATAATATATAATATACAATACACTTTTTTTTTAGAAAATACAAATTGTTTGGTAATTGGAAGCGTTGCAAAGTACATTGTTTGCTTATAGTTTATTGCTAATCTATAACATTTGCTTATTTCGTGACAATTCATGATTTTATCGCGCTGTTCTCACCTTGAATCCAAAGTTCAAACAACAACCAAATATGTTGTATAAGAACAGACACGAATTTAATGTGACTAATGTGTGTTTGGTCTAGTTTTTTTCCCCTTTGCCATTGAAACATCTTTAGCTGATTGTGATTACTTAAGATCGTCTGATAATTGATACTGGCAATCAATGTTCTTTTCGCTCACTCTCTATTTTTTTATTTGGCTTTTTTTTATTGTTATATAAGACTTGCAATCGCATAATTAATAATGGATTTAACAGCAAAAATTATGCATATTTATTCATGAATTTCATTTAATTTACACCGCCTTTTAACAAACTCGAACAGTCGCCATAAAGATAAACAACGTTTTATGATAACTTTTCGGTGTGTCCACATACGCACACACACACACACACACACATTCAGTTCAAATTGGAGGACTGGAACCGCTGGCGATCGAAAAATTCTGATTAGAAAAACATACACTCAAGCATGTAAATGGAAGTTTGAGCGTTTTGCTGGAACTCAACTCACTTAATTACAATCGAATAAATGCAATAATTAGAGCTTTTGGGATCTGGTGCTTTTTGGCCGTTTGATGAGCTGATTGGAATGCGAATGCGACCCGTTCGCGGCTAGGGCAACAACTCAACTGCCTTCACGCTATGGAAAAAATTCCATTTTCCAATCGCAGAGAAAGCTACGCCAATTCAAATAAGCAGTCCAATTGTAAGCATGCAGACAAGCAAGCACCAACCAACTGCTTCTCGCTCAAGATCAAGCGACAGAGTGAGAGCGCCAGAGCGAGAGCGAGAGCGAAGGCAAAAGCAAATGCCGCTGACGAAGAGCAAAAGTAACGACGATGGCGTGATACTGAATTTTTTTTATGACGACGCGGCAGAAAAAAGATCTGCGTCTCTTAATCAGCAAAACTCGTTTGGCATTTTACAACTTGTTGAGAGCTTTTTTCAACTGGAAAAGCTCGCCCTTGCGCTGCGACAAGAGAAAAAAATGTATTAATTTGTAGAACTTTTCAAACGAGCGCGCAACACAAACAGCCGCAAAATAGACAAACGTTTTTTTCTTAACAGCGATTACACAACATAAACACTCACACACACAAGTATATGTTGTGCTGGCTTTGTTTGTAAGTTTATACCTAGATATTAATTAATCAAAGTCCATGTACAGTTATTACACTTTTGCCAGCGTTACGACATAATGCTTATCATTTAATGGCACGTCGTATTAATTTACCAAATAATATTTATTTAATCAGCAGCCATGTGGATAACGACGGAGCTTTAAACTAAACTAGAACCGGCAAACTGCAACTGTTAACTAAAACGAACGTATACTTTTGATTTACTCACTGTTGTCCCCATTTAACTGTACTGCGCATGCGCCAGTTCCAGGTCCAGGCCACCCACACAAGCACAACGCATAAGCTGTTAAGTAAGGAATTACGTGAGAGTCGCCTTTCAATATACAGTGGGCAAAAATTGTTGAGCACGTCTAGAAATAACTGAAGACTTCTCAATTTTCTCTCATGCAAACCGATATCCAAATATCAAACAAAATCCGACAAGTGCAACTTTTGACCCTGAACAATGAAACCCATCAGAAGTAAAATGAAACCCATCAGAAAATATCATAGAATACAGTGGAGCGTACGAGAAATATAAATATGTAGAAAATCTAATTCTAATTCTAATTAAAAATATGTACAGTTGAGTTTAAATTAAGTCAACATAAAAACCATCACAAATTAATCAAACTTTAAGCGAAATTTTAGTTTTATTCAAATGCATTTTGAAAGTTTTTCAGATGTCATTCAGATGCTTAATGCAGCTGCATGTGTTTATAAATAAACATTAGAATTAATGTGCAGTTCTTTTCATTTAGCTGTTAATCAATAACAATATATGTACGTATTATTACTAAACTGGGGAATTAGTTAGTTCGTAATGCAAAAGCTGTTTAGACAATCGATAGAAAATTCAGTCATGTTGCGCGCAGTGAAAAATGCTCCTTAGACTGCCTTATAGACGCGCACGCTCTTCACGGCGCCAATGGTCAGCGTCTAAATGAGGAAGAAAGAAATCAAGTTAAAATTCATTTGGGTGAGTTCGCTTTTCATGGGACTGTACTTACGGTAATCAGCTCGCTGTCGCTAAACTCGCGCACAATGGTCGAGGGCTTGTCACCCTTCTGCTCCTGGGTCAGCTTGTTGCCATCGAGGGTGATGATACTCTTGACCTTGCGGCCATCGAGAGTCTCCTCATCGAACTCCTCGCCCAGCTTGAAACTAATGGCAGAGGTCTTGAAAGTCGATGTGGTCGTCATGGTGTATGTATCACCATCCACGGTAACCTCCACAGTGGGGCTAACCGAGTTGCCCATCTTGCGCAGCACCATGTTGACACCTGCAAAGAGGATTTACAATGAAAAAATTAAATAAATTACAAATATTTGATATTATAATAAAGAAGATTTAAATAAACATATATATATATATATATATATATACGTATATAAAGTATGTAAAAGTATGTGCAAGTGCATTCAAAAAGTTTGAAGATTTGGACAGTTACTAATTGAATTAGCCCGTCAATGTTGAGGACCCCCACAAAACATGCACAATGCAAATCATATTGTATTTAATTGAAATAATCAAGATGAATTATGAAGTTGCCGACAAGTAACCCCGACACAGACACATCCACATCCACATACCACAAGAGTCGTGCTCAAGGTTAACAGTGCAGGCAGCGAAGTGGATGGGGGGGTGGGGGTGGAGGGATGTGTACCCGCTGTTATATACATACAGCCTCCGGTACTTATCAATTTGTCCGCCTAAATATAGCAAATGCTGGAGGAGCAACAAATAAATGCAAGCAACCTTATCGCACAATGCACAGATCAAGTGTATAACTCAATTACAAATATATATATTTATATTCATATATATATATTATATATGTACATGCCCCCTTGTTGACCAATCCATCAAACACAGACAAATCAATTATGCTCAATTATGTACTTATACAAGTTTTAAGTGGACAACCTTTGGGTCTCAAGTGTTTTATGGTTCGATATATATAAATATATTCTCTCTGCCAATCTACATCAATAAATTTTGAGAACCCTTGCAGCTGTGTGCATGTATTTCATGGCATAGATAAGCACCCCTAGAAAATAACCTAGACTTATTATCACTTGCGTTGCCATCCAACAAAAAAAAATAGTGTAATCAGGTGCCAAGTGCAAAAAAAAAAAATAAATAAAAAAGCAATTCATATCGCAAAAATTAAAAACCATTATACCTTTATGTATATATACATGCAGGTATATTGTTTATCAATTGTACTGTGTACTTTGACTGCATGGAAGAGCAATCAGATATATATATCTCAAGTCTCTCACCACATGTCGAGAGGTATTTTCACTATTAAAAATCGGTAATGCAAACCTCTTCAAAGTGTCGTTATTGAAGGCGGCTTAAGGCCCACTTCACGTTACCAACAACTTATAAACTTGGCTGAAAATTGAGACCTCGTTACTAAGCAAACTAAGCAGCAGCCGTTTGGGATTCGATTTTCTCAACCGCACATAGACCGCAAATGCAAATAATAACAAAATAACAGTGCCACAATCTACGAGACACCGAATCAAATTTCCCCTAGTTCCTCAAAATGTTTCAACTACACCTGGCTGGCTACTAGACTATATAATCTAAACAGAACAAAGTTCGCAACTCGCAAATTACTTTTATAACTTTTGCAAAAAAACAAAAAAAAAAAATAGCCATATCTCAATTTTTGTATGTGCCATGCTTTCTACACACACACACACACACACAGACTGAATAGTAATTTAGAACCCATTAAAATACCCGTCTGCCCCCCAAGCAGACATTTCATTTTAAATAGTTTTCAGGTTTATTAACCCATTGCACCTCGCCCCGTACAAGGAGACTATTACTTTTATACGATTTGCACCTTAAATATTCTCAGCCAACAAATTGGAGCAGCTCCCAATGCTCCAAAAAAAGAGAGAATTTTGCAGTAACCACGTTTTTCGTTCCTTTTGGTTTACATCTTCTTTCTCTTGCACATCTGCGCGATAATAAAAAGTTGCCGGCCGGTTAGCGGCACTTTTTTCGGCTTCTTTCCCACGCTCTTTTGCTCACTCAACTTAACTGTACTTTACTTTACAACACGTGTCCACGTGACAATATTGTTGACATAACAGTAATTAGTAGAATCCTAGCTGTTGTTCACTTACCCAACTCCTTCATGTACTCATCGAAGTTCTCGGACTTGTCCAGTTTGTACTTCTTGCCAACGAAAGATGCCATTTTGAATAGAGATTGGGTTGCTTGAATTGCGCTTCACGAAAATCGGACCACCACTGATGAGAGCTCGCGCTTGTATGAACTTTATATAGACTCACAGCGTTGCCAGATGAGACGATTTGAGTAAAAGCTCTAAGTGAAGTTCTCAAATGAGATAGAAGGAAAGAGAGAGAGAGAGAGAGAGAGCTCAAAGTTTTATGACTGCGAAATCGATATGGGTAAAAATGAATTTATGACAAATAAAGGTGGAAAATGTATTTATTTTAAGCAAACTGATAAATAAGATTATTGCTTATAAAAAGGCTATGTGTCATATTGTGTAATCATTTTATAGTTACATGCTGATGAAATTTAATTTAAAAGTCAAAATCGATAATCGACCGTTAAATAAATCTATTTTTCAAATTTATATCAATTATTTTCACAGTAGAATAATCGATTTATTAAGTAAAGATAAGTATAAAATAAAAAAACGAAGTGTGTATAGTTTTTTTAAGAATTTATTATGATCACATGTGCAGATGTATTATTTATGCAAGTATATATTAAACATACTTCTCGCACCTCGCCCATATATATGAATTGCTTGCAGTTTAATTGAGTCAAACATGCCGTCCACATAACTGTCATAAGTATTGTGGCATATCACAAAACACTGTGAGAACTGCAAGTTCAAGTGCCACCAATCCCATATTATTATTATGTATTATATGTATATATATATTTGTATATAAATTGTGGGCCACCGGCAACACCCACGTTTGCCATAAGAATTGGCGTGTTCTGCTAAAAAAATATATGTATATATATCTATATATATATAGTAAAGTGTATATCTATCTCGATTTAGCGAATCGGACACGTAATCTAATCGAGCATTATGTGTCATAAAAAGGCAGTCGTATGCAATATCACAAAAGACTTATTCAAGTCACGCTAGCCGAATTATATTTCCTTTTCTCGCTTTCTTATCGCATTAATTCAATTAAAGACTTCAGCATTCTGCAATGCAGCTGTATCTTGACTTTCATAAATGCAACATTAACGAGAGTTTGCATATTTCTAATTATATGAAAACTCTGAAAGCAACCAAGATTCAGATGTACCTTTTTGGTTACATCTTATTTTAATTTAATTCCACTTCTTCTTTTGTGTTCTGGCAAGTTATTTTAATAAACAAATCTTTTGAAATGCTCTGCGCGCAAAGCTAAATAAAATTCAAATTCAAAAATATGTTGTTCCACTTGCACTGCTTGAAATCAGCCGAGACACGAACCGTTGTCGTTAGCCAAGCAGTTCAGCTAGCAAAGCAGATCAAGTACTGCTCGTAATTGAACCATTAAATCGTGTTAGTTGCGCATTTCTGTCGCTTTATTCAATAAGCTTTTGTGTAAATATGTTGACCATATCAGACACAATTTATCGCTGCTCTTGTGTTTATTTTTTAGTAAATCACATTGTACTTTCTTCATTCTTTCATTTGTCCGACATTTTGGTTAACAGCATGCATAGATAACGGTTACAACAAAAGCTTTTGCCTGATAACGCCAATCAAGTTAGACAACAAGCAAATGAAAGCTTATCATAAGACTGATATGTCAAGGCCAAAATCAACACGTGTGATTGGCAGCATTTCAAAAGAGAGTTAGTGAAGGAGAGCGAATGAGCGAGAGAGAAAGCGAGAGAGCGACCGATGCTATTCATATCTCCATCAATCTGTACGCAAAAATTCGCAATGCAAAAGCTCAATGGGAGAGTGATTGTTATGTGGGAGAGCAAACATTTGTTTATACTGGTTGCTATTAATTTTGCTCTAAAACAACGGCCGCTGGTGAGTCGCTCGTTAGAACGAGTTCGTCGATCGGAGCGTGCACAACGACCTGCGAGCGGTGGCGACGACGGCGGCACTTTGAATTTACATTCAAAACTTTTACGCACCACAAAAAGAAAAAAAATAACAATAAAAAGCAACATTTCATTATCTATATATTCGTACACTATCTCAAACGTATGTGATGCAAGAGTGCTGTGGGACTTGTGCAAAAGATAAACTGCCGATCGTATTAGTGCTATCAAAACAGCATGCTTTGTGGAACGTTTTTAGAATAGATGTAACAACATCCGAAGTCAAACAACATTGTGAGTGGAGTGGAAAAAAACAGAGGCGGACATCTATGTTTTTTAAACATTAAATAATTATATTAACGGGCAGCGCGTGTCTCCATTTCTGTTTGGGATGCTAATGAAATCGAATCAAACACAAATTAAAAGTCGCCAATATTCGAACAAATCAATTAACAAATCAAATGCAAATAATAAGTGAATACAAAACGGTGTGTAAAACGTAATTATACAACTTATACAACTGAGCAATTAAATCAAAATAATAGGCAACAAAACAAAAAAAAAAATGCAATCATTAAAGGCCGATGATCTGCCCGAGAATCCCGTGGAGCGGGCCAACTGCTGCTCGGAGCAGATGTTCTGGTAAGTCAAATACGGATGCGGATTCGGATTGGTTTTGGGCAGTTAGATATATACGGTTAGGGTTAGGGTTGTGTGGTCAGCATGACAACTGCCTCGAGTTCATTATTATTATTATTATTATTATTGTATTCAATGGGCCATTTAATTGAAATAGTTTGTGCGTTCGAGCTTCTGGTCTGAGTCCGAGTCCGACTCCGAGTCCGAGTCTGAGTTTGAGTCCGAGCCACTGGGCATCCAACGGCGGCGATATTCATGTACTCGTCAACATGTCCACATATATATTTGTGTGAAGTATTTTCAAGTTATTCATTCAATTGGCTGTCACTTAAGGCAACTTTAATTTCATCCGTCGACCAAATATAGCTGTAAGCTAATGAATTCCGATTGCCATAAAACTATATGCTTATCTGCTTCAATTTGGCGCTTCTGCAACATTAAACCGATTTTGACATTGTCTAATGACTGGCAGAAAATCAAGTCAACTCCCAACTATTACTGCTACGTGCGTGCTTGACTTGAATGAAATTCAAATGTTATCTTTCAAGGTGCTAATAGATCCGTCAGTCAATATCTAGCAAAAAAAAAAAAACGGTTGTTAGAGTTACGGCTAGATCTAAGTTCGTTTTCTCTTGCTGACAATGCATATTCTTATTATATCTAAATTACATACGTATATGTATATATTATCTATTTTTGATAGTTATGTTTGTTTCGAAAGTTAACTTTTTAAAAGAATTGAATAAGAATTAATTTGGTGTCAAACTTATCTATGACATTATTTAATTCTGTGACATGACAATTTTGATGGTGTACATTATAATTATTATTATCAACTGATAAATATAGAATTTTTTATGTTTACAACTCGGCTCTGTCATTATAAAAAACGCTCGCTATCTCAATATATACGTGTTAATTATCTCTTGTTTCATCCGTAAAGCTTTGCGATGCCCGTTTTGTTTAAGGGTCGCCAGAAAGCACTGGAACAAAGCGATCTCTATAAACCGCTCAAGAAGCACAAGTCAGGTGAGTGACAGCAATACATCATTTTTTCTCTATCCGAACTAATATTTAATATTTAATATTATCTGTTAGACACGCTCGGCGACCGTCTGTGCTCGGCCTGGGATGAGGAAGTCGCTAGGCGATCTGCCCAAAATCTCCAGCCTCGCTTGTTTCGCGTTGTGAGTCGCGTATTTGGCTGGCCTCTGTTTCTCCAAGGCCTCTTGCTCATTTCCCAGGAGATGCTCACCAGGTGAGCATCGCTCTCTCTCTCTCTATATATGTATATAAAATCGATTCTAAGATTTTACAACTTTTAGGGTTACGCAGCCCATTTGCCTGTTTGGCATTATGGCCTACTTTGCCGGCGATGATACGGATTTGACCAAGGCGCAGCTTTATGCCGCCGGCCTAATGGCGGGAACGGTGTTCTCGGTTGCCTTTGGCCATCCATACATGCTGGGTGTCTTGCATCTGGGCATGAAAATGCGCATTGCCCTCTGCAGCTTAGTATATCGCAAGTCTTTGCGCCTCAGCCGGACAGCCCTGGGAGACACGACCATCGGGCAGGTGGTGAATCTGCTGTCCAACGATGTGGGACGCTTCGATACGGTGCTGATCAATGTGCACTACTTGTGGGTAGCACCCCTAGAGCTGATCGTCGTCACGTATTTTATGTATGATCAGGTGAGTAGTCCTTCCGGGATATTTCATCTTTTTATTACTTTTCTTTACTTTACTTTACGACTTTGGTCATTTACAGATCGGATTTTCGGCTTTGTTTGGCGTCGCTGTGATGCTACTCTTTCTACCACTGCAGGCCTACCTGGGCAAGAAAACATCGGTGCTGCGTCTGCGTACAGCCCTTCGCACAGACGAACGTGTCCGCATGATGAACGAGATCATATCCGGGATTCAGGTGATCAAGATGTATGCATGGGAGAAGCCCTTTGGCAAGCTTGTGGAGCTCACGCGTCTCAAAGAAATGACCTGCATCAAGCAGGTCAACTATATACGTGGCATTCTCATCTCCTTCGCCATGTTCCTCTCACGCGTCTTCATATTCGCCAGTCTGGTGGGCTATGTGCTGCTCGGCAATCTCTTGACCGCCGAAAAGGCCTTCTACATCACCGCCTACTACAACATTCTCCGGCGCACAGTCACCATGTTCTTCCCACAAGGCATCGGACAGTTCGCGGAGCTCTTGGTGTCTATTAGACGTCTGCAGACCTTTATGCATCGCGAGGAGACTCTCGTCCAAGACAGATCAATTGATGGCACGACCTCTGCACCTCTCGACCAGACGAAAAATGGTGCACTAATAGAAAACGAAAGCGGAGATGCGGCAAAGGTCAACGGCAATCACGAGAGTCTTATTGAATTCAACGAATTCCATGCCAAATGGGATGCTAAAGCAACTGAGAACACTCTAGACAACATCAATCTCAAACTAGGTCGTCGTCAACTGGTGGCCGTGATTGGACCTGTCGGTTCAGGCAAGTCCAGCCTCATACAATCCATTCTCGGCGAACTGCCCGTTGGGAAGGGAAGCCTCAAAGTCAATGGCAAATATTCGTACGCCTCCCAGGAGCCGTGGCTCTTCACGGGAACTGTTCGTGAAAATATACTCTTTGGATTGACTCTGGATAAGCATCGCTATCGCACAGTGGTGAAGAAGTGTGCCCTTGAGCGTGACTTTGAGCTACTTCCTCATGGTGATAAGACGATCGTTGGCGAGCGAGGAGCTTCACTCTCTGGTGGACAGAAAGCACGCATCAGTCTGGCAAGGGCTGTGTACCGTCGGGCGGAGATCTACCTCCTAGATGATCCACTCAGCGCTGTGGATACTCATGTGGGTCGGCACTTGTTCGATCAGTGCATGAGAGGCTATCTGAGAAGTGAGTTAGTCATCCTGGTCACACATCAGCTGCAGTTCCTGGAGCACGCCGATCTCATTGTCATTATGGATAAGGGTAAAATTAGTGCAATGGGCACCTATGCCACAATGCAACGCAGCGGTTTGGACTTTGCACAGCTGCTGACAGATCCCAACAAGTCTGACGAGACGTCAAATGATCGTGATAGTGAAGCTGGCGATATTTGGGATCGTCTGAGCCTCGCCTCACGGAGCAATAGACCGAGTCGCCAAGCCTCGCGCAATGAGAGTTTTAGCTCTTTAAGTTCCCTGACGGAATCTATTGGAAATGAAGCAGCTATGGCTCCACAAGAGACGCGCGTCAAAGGCAACATAGGTTTTGGTCTCTATAAGGAATATTTAACTGCAGGCAGCGGTTGGCTCATGCTATGCTTCATGGTCTTCCTTTGCTTGGGAACACAAATTGTGGGTTCAACAGCTGATATGTTTCTCGCCTACTGGTAAGTCAATCTATCTTTTCATTGATCACATAAATCGAATAATACGTTTCAATTCTCAATTTTAGGGTTGACAAGAACAAAAACGCTGCAGACAGAGACTCAGATCCAATCGATATCTATTACTTCACTGCCCTTAATATAGCCGTCATCTTCTTTACGTTAGTAAGGACTATGCTATTCTATAAGCTGGCCATGCGCAGCTCGACAACGCTTCACAATGCCATGTTCCGTGGCATCACAAGAGCGGCAATGTACTTCTTCAATACGAATCCCTCGGGTCGGATATTGAATCGGTTCTCAAAGGACCTCGGCCAGATAGACGAACTTCTGCCAACCGTAATGCTGGATGTGGTTCAGATCTTTCTTACATTGACAGGTATCATCGTTGTCATCTGCATCACCAATCCTTATTATCTGATTCTCACTCTGGTCCTGGGGATAATCTTCTACTATATAAGGGAGTTTTATCTGAAGACATCAAGAGACATAAAACGGCTGGAGGCAGTTGCCAGATCTCCGATATATTCTCATCTCAGTGCCTCTCTAAATGGACTGCCTACAATTAGAGCACTGGGCGCACAGAAGACTCTGATTGCCGAGTTCGATAATCTGCAGGATCTGCACAGCTCCGGTTACTACACATTTCTATCTACTAATCGTGCCTTCGGCTATTACCTGGACTGCTTCTGCACACTGTACATTGTGATAATTATTCTGAACTATTTCATAAATCCGCCTGAAAACTCGGGCGAAGTAGGATTAGCCATTACGCAAGCTATGGGCATGGCAGGCATGGTTCAATGGGGCATGCGGCAATCGGCGGAGCTGGAGAACACCATGACAGCAGTTGAACGTGTAGTGGAGTACGATGAGATCGAGCCAGAGGGTGAATATGAGTCGGAGCTGAACAAGAAACCACCCAACACCTGGCCGGAACACGGAAAGATAGTGGCCGATGATCTAAGTCTACGCTATTTCCCCGATCCGCAATCCAAGTATGTGCTCAAGTCGCTCAACTTCGAGATCAAACCCATGGAAAAGGTGGGCATTGTGGGTCGTACGGGTGCTGGCAAATCATCGCTTATCAACGCCCTCTTCCGTCTGTCCTACAACGATGGCTCTATCATCATCGACAGCCGCGATACCAACGAACTAGGACTACACGATCTGCGAAGCAAGATCTCCATTATCCCACAGGAACCGGTACTGTTTTCGGGCAGCATGCGCTACAATCTTGATCCCTTCGAGGAATACAGCGATGCCAAGCTGTGGGATGCTTTGGAGGAGGTCAAGTTGAAGCCCGTCATCAGCGATCTTCCGAGTGGACTCCAGAGTAAAATCTCCGAGGGAGGCACCAACTTTAGTGTGGGTCAGAGGCAGCTGGTGTGTTTGGCACGAGCCATTCTTCGGGAGAACCGTATTCTGGTCATGGATGAGGCCACAGCCAATGTGGATCCACAGACAGATGCCCTCATTCAGACGACGATTAGGAACAAGTTCAGGGAGTGCACAGTTCTGACAATAGCCCATCGCCTGAACACGATTATGGACTCGGATAAGGTGATAGTCATGGATGCTGGCCAAATAGTCGAGTTTGGATCACCTTACGAACTCCTTACTCAGTGTGAGTCGAAGGTCTTCCATGGCATGGTCATGGAGACAGGTCAAAGTAGCTTTGATAGTCTGCTGAGGGTAGCAGAAAAGGTAGGCACTACATAATATTGGCTTCAGTATATATATTAATCCCTATTATTGTCCCACAGGCCCATTTGGAATCACAGAAGTCCAAGACTGCCTAGAATTAATGCAGAATCTGAAGGCATTTTCGCATTAGTTAGTTTTAAGAACAAGTCTCATAGAACATGTACTGTTTTAAAATTAACCGGTATCCAACATTGTCAAAATAAGAACGAGAAACCTTATGTATCTAAATGCTACTTAATGTATTGCTTTTTATTTTACGAAATAACCTTTAAATAAACTTATAAGACTAAAAAGGTATAATTGCATTTATCAATTTTTCAGCAGCTTAAGTAACAAATCAGTTACATTTTGAAATAGAGCAATTACATTTCCAGACATTTCCTCTCTCTCTCTCTCTCTCTCTCTCTCTCTCTCTCTCTCTCTCTCTCTCTCTGTATCTCTCTCGTGTTTACTGATAAGCCATAGTATTTTACTATGAAAACGCAGATAAAAAGTTGCGATTCGAGCTGAAGAGCACAAATTGCGAGAGGAAAAGCTTCGTGGGACAGTTTGCATAAAAAGCGGGAACTGATCAGCTGAGAAGTAGAACGAGTTGCGCGCTCGACCAGAAAGCTTGTTATCTGTAGCGAAAATAGTATTGATGTATGTATATATGTTTGGATATTTATGTATTTTTTTTGTAATTCGACAATTTCAATGTATTGTGAAATTTCGTTTGTGGAAATATTATATTTGTGGTTTTATTTGGCATAGTTATGAAAAGGGATCACATTAATTGAGATATGTTGGCTGTATCTTTGGCACTGTGGAAATTACCCAAAATAATATGAAAGTCATAATTAAAACTAATCAAAATTTATGGAAATATAATAGGCTTAACAAATTGTAATAAATTTCTTAATTGTTTGTTTTATTTAAAGCAAGGAAATAAATAAGTAGTTACAAATAATACAAAATGCCACTAACAAGAGCCGATGAGCTACCAGAAAATCCCCGGGAGAGCTCCAACCCAATTTCGGAGGTAATGTTCTGGTGAGTACTACAATTGATTAGTTAATGAATCAGTATTTTATTTATAAATATTTAATTTATTTCTGTTCCAATTTATGTAATTGCTTATCTATATTATTTATTAGTAGATTATTGACCCACACTACATTTTTAAGGGCAGGGATGCCGGGGTTTTCGGGTCGCTTATCTATCAATACGTCATATATGAATTTCGAACCGATATACCGGATTGATAATCCAATCATAACCAATGTACACAATTATCTGTCTTTTAATTGATTCGAATGAATGAATGAACAATGTCCAACTTGAATAAAAACAACATTACGTAAAAGACTCCAAAGCTTTGTTGATAAAGCGACAATTCTTATCAACGAGTAATTTTACTTACTGTGTATATTTTCCCATGTTTGATCATTATAAAATCTTTATTTTATCTTATTTCGTTCATTGATATCATGAAGCTTTGTATTCCCTGTGTTCTTCAAAGGCCGTAAAAAGACTTTACAACAACCAGATTTATATTGTCCCTTAAAGGAACACAAATCAGGTAAGTTCAGTAAATATACAATACTTATACGGTTGAATAATAATCAATCTAAATAATATATAATAATATTCAGATACTCTTGGAGATCGCTTAAGCGCAGCCTGGGATGAAGAAGTAATTCAGAGATCAGCCCAAAAGAAACAGCCTCGATTAGGGCGTGTTATGGTCCGCATCTTTGGCTTCCATCTGTTTATCACTGGAGTGTTAATGGGATCTAAGGAATTTTTTACCAAGTAAGTAAATTGACAAGTTCTCTGTGATCATTGAATTTAAATATATCTCATTTAAGAGTAACCCAGCCCATTTTCCTCTATGGTCTTATGTCCTACTTTTCGGGTGAGGATCCAGACCCAATGAAGGCGAAATTCTATGCAGTTGCCCTGATGGTTGGTTCCGTGCTCTCAGTTGTCACACAACATCCCTTAATGCTCGGCATAGTCCATCTGGGCATGAAAATGCGTGTTGCGCTGAGCAGCTTGGTATATCGGAAGGCTCTGCGCTTGAGCCATAATGCTTTGGGAGACACATCGATTGGTCAGGTGGTAAATCTGCTGTCCAACGATGTGGGACGCTTCGATTCAGTGTTGGTCAATTTACATTATATCTGGCTGGGTCCACTGGAATTGGTGGTAATAACCTATCTAATGTTTGAAAAGGTAAGCAGCAAGTGTGAATTGAATTGAAGGGAGTCTCATATTAATTTAATATCTGTATACAATTGTAGATTGGCGTCGCTTGCTTCTTTGGCATTGCTCTTATGTTGCTTGTCATGCCCCTACAATCTTATCTGGCGAAGAAGACATCGACGCTGAGGCTGCATACAGCTCTACGCACTGACGAGCGCGTTCGATTGATGAACGAGATCATTTCGGGCATTCAGGTGATTAAGATGTATGCCTGGGAGAAGCCCTTTGGAAAACTCGTTGAGTTAACGCGCCTAAACGAGATGGTCTGCATTAAGAAAGTCAACTATATTCGTGGCATTCTCATTGCTTTTGGCATGTGTCTATCTCGCACATTTACCTTCGTTAGTCTAGTTGGATTTGTACTACTGGGAAACATATTGACTGCCGGACAAGCCTTTTTCATCACGGCGTACTTTACTTTGCTTCAACGAACGTTCACCAATTTCTTTCCCATTAGCATAACTCAACTCTTGGAACTTGTGGTAACCATCAAGCGTCTGGAAACCTTTATGCATAGAGAGGAGATTCTAAGACTGGACAAATCTGATACAATGCTGTCACCTGTATTTGACAAGAGAAAAAGTGATAAAGAAAACGGGGCTCTCATCGGAGATGTGACTAAAAAAAATAGCAATGAGCAGACGCTTGTTGAATTCAACGAATTCCATGCCAAGTGGGATGCCAAAGCAACTGAGAACACTCTAGACAACATCAATCTCAAACTAGGTCGTCGTCAACTGGTGGCCGTGATTGGACCTGTCGGCTCAGGCAAGTCCAGCCTCATACAATCCATTCTCGGCGAACTGCCCGTTGGGAAGGGAAGCCTCAAAGTTAATGGCAAATATTCCTACGCCTCCCAGGAGCCGTGGCTCTTCACGGGAACTGTTCGTGAAAATATACTCTTTGGATTGACTCTGGATAAGCATCGCTATCGCACAGTGGTGAAGAAGTGTGCCCTTGAGCGTGACTTTGAGCTACTTCCTCATGGTGATAAGACGATCGTTGGTGAGCGAGGAGCTTCACTCTCTGGTGGACAGAAGGCACGCATCAGTCTGGCAAGGGCTGTGTACCGTCGTGCGGAGATCTACCTCCTAGATGATCCACTCAGCGCTGTGGATACTCATGTGGGTCGGCACTTGTTCGATCAGTGCATGAGAGGCTATCTGAGAAGTGAGTTAGTCATCCTGGTCACACATCAGCTGCAGTTCCTGGAGCACGCCGATCTCATTGTCATTATGGATAAGGGTAAAATTAGTGCAATGGGCACATATGCCACAATGCAGCAGAGTGGCTTGAACTTTGCACAACTGCTTATACGTCCCAACAAGGGCGATGACGAGCTAAATGAAAATATGAATGATGCTTGTGAAAGATTTGATAATACAAAGTCACAAAAGATTTTACGCCAGACGTCACAAGCAGAGAGTATAAATTCAATGAGCTCTCTGACCGAATCCATTGCTCAAGATGAGCCGCTGACTGTGCAAGAAAGTCGATCCGAGGGCAAGATCGGTTTGGGTATCTATAAGGAATATTATGCGGCAGGCAGCAGTTGGCTTTTAATATGCTTTCTATTGTTCCTTTGTGTGGGCACGCAGATTGTGGCTTCCGTAACTGATGTTTTCCTTGCTTACTGGTAATTGTCTTTTTTGAATGCAGCAGTCAATTAGAATAATAATTTTTCTCTTAAGGGTTGACAAGAATGAAACAGCAGATGACTCGGATCCCGTCGATATCTATTACTTCACTGCCCTTAATATAGCGGCCCTCTTGCTTACATTGGGACGGACTATGCTATTCTATAATCTGGCCATGCGGAGTTCTACTGAGCTTCATAATTCCATGTTCCGTGGCATCACAAGAGCGGCAATGTACTTCTTCAATACGAATCCCTCGGGTCGGATACTAAATCGGTTCTCAAAGGATCTCGGCCAGATAGATGAACTTCTGCCAACCGTAATGTTGGACGTGCTACAGGTTTCCCTCATATTGACTGGAATCATTGTTGTCATCTGCGTTATAAACCCCTATTATATAATCTTATCTGTTGTGCTGGGAATAATTTTCTATAACATAAGAGAGTTTTATCTGAAGACATCAAGAGATGTAAAACGCCTGGAGGCAGTTGCCAGATCTCCCATATATTCCCATCTCGGCGCCTCTCTAAATGGACTCACCACTATAAGAGCACTGGACGCAGAGAAGACATTGATTTCCGAGTTTGATAATCTGCAGGATCTGCACAGCTCCGGTTACTACACATTTCTCGCTACTAATCGTGCTTTTGGCTATTACTTGGATCTCTTGTGCACACTGTACATTGTAATGATTACAATCAATTACTTCATTAATCCGCCTGAAAATTCCGGTGAGGTTGGATTAGCTATAACCCAGGCCATTGGATTGACTGGTATGATTCAATGGGGCATGCGGCAATCGGCGGAGCTGGAGAACGCCATGACAGCCGTTGAACGTGTAGTGGAGTACGATGAGATCGAGCCAGAGGGTGAATATGAGTCGGAGCTGAACAGGAAACCACCCATCACCTGGCCGGAACACGGAAAGATAGTGGCCGATGATCTAAGTCTACGCTATTTCCCCGATCCGCAATCCAAGTATGTGCTCAAGTCGCTCAACTTCGAGATCAAACCCATGGAAAAGGTGGGCATTGTGGGTCGTACGGGTGCTGGCAAATCATCGCTTATCAACGCCCTCTTCCGTCTGTCCTACAACGATGGCTCTATCATCATCGACAGCCGCGATACCAACGAACTAGGACTACACGATCTGCGAAGCAAGATCTCCATTATCCCACAGGAACCGGTACTGTTTTCGGGCAGCATGCGCTACAATCTTGATCCCTTCGAGGAATACAGCGATGCCAAGCTGTGGGATGCTTTGGAAGAGGTCAAGTTGAAGCCCGTCATCAGCGATCTTCCGAGTGGACTCCAGAGTAAAATCTCCGAGGGAGGCACCAACTTTAGTGTGGGTCAGAGGCAGCTGGTGTGTTTGGCACGAGCCATTCTTCGGGAGAACCGTATTCTGGTCATGGATGAGGCCACAGCCAATGTGGATCCACAGACAGATGCCCTCATTCAGACGACGATTAGGAACAAGTTCAGGGAGTGCACAGTTCTGACAATAGCCCATCGCCTGAACACGATTATGGACTCGGATAAGGTGATAGTCATGGATGCTGGCCAAATAGTCGAGTTTGGATCACCTTACGAACTCCTTACTCAGTGTGAGTCGAAGGTCTTCCATGGCATGGTCATGGAGACAGGTCAAAGTAGCTTTGATAGTCTGCTGAGGGTAGCAGAAAAGGTAGGCACTACATAATATTGGCTTCAGTATGTATATTAATCCCCATTATTGTCCCACAGGCTCATTTGGAATCACAGAAGTCGAAGACTGCCTAGAACTAATGCAGAATCTGAAGGCAATACAATTTTCACATTAGTTAGTTTTAAATACAAGTCTCATAAAACATATACCGTTTTTAAAACAAATGCTTTCATAACATAAGTAATACCAGCTGACAGATGATAATAGGGTGGGTGTAGTCAAAAAATACCGTCCAAGTCTGCCTTTCATATTGTAGTAGCTATAGGCGTAGGAGATATATGCCCATATCAATTTTATCGGTTTCATAACCCTATGATACCTTCGGTATCAAAGTATGCTGAACCGGTATTCACCATTGTGAAAATAAGAAACCTAAATGTATAAAAATAGTATCCGCAAAATATATAATAATTAATAAAAATTCAACACTGTTTGTTTTTATTTTTTGTAATACTTTCATTTATTGATATTTGAAATCTATAAGGTAAATTGTTATCATTTGCTTCATTTTGCTGCTTGTTGTTGTAATTGTTGTTTCATTTCTTTTGTGGGTTCTCTTTAATAGAGCTCTACAAGGATTGCAGTAGTTTTTGAGTACATTTGAAATATGTATTAAATAAAAAAATAAAAAAACAAACAACTTGTTGCTATAAGGGATTATCCATATAGATTCACATAATGCTCAGAGCATCATAATCATCATTATCATTATCATTATCATCGATATTGACATCGTCGTCGTACACACAAAGTGCATAAGTGGAGGGTATTAGCAAAAGGAATAGCAATTTGAAAACAAATAAGAACAATCGATTGTAAGTATCCGCCTAAAACTAGAACTAAATAATGAGTAATGACCTGGCCCAGATGTTCGAGTGTATCAGAGTGTTGCTGTTTAGAGTGGCAAATGGCAGTTATGAGGTGTTTAGACTAATCACTATGCATATATGTAAGTCTGATCCGTTTTGAGGGGTTTCGGAAGTGTGGGTGTTTTGGGTGTATAACTTAAAAGATTACTTCTTGAAATGAGTTTAATTTGAAGTATACAAACTTAATGTACATGGAGACATCGCATAGATCAACACATCGAGTTACACATAGTATAATTGGTTAGTTAGGTGTGGATTGGTCACTGGACAGAGCCATTAGTTTTATGCATAAGAATATACATAGTTAAGTTATTAATGTTTATCTTGTTCAAGCACAAAACTACACTGAAAGCGCTTTTTTCTGCATTGCATCATAGATCCGATCTTAAAGAAGTTTTTTGTTTTTTTTTTTTTTAATTTGCATGCTGACAACTAACATTTAATTTTAATTATAATTGTAGTTTAGTTTTCTTCTTGTTAGCATGCAGTAAATTTCACAACTTGTTGCCAATAAACTTATTAACCAATTTAAGTAGCTTGTGCGAATAATCATCATATTATATATTAGATTTGCAGTTCTCACCGGCGAGAAGTTCTCTAATGCTTGGTTGTTCAACTAGGCAGCGAGCGAATTAAATTAGCTGATTATATTGCTATTCATTGAATCATTCTTTAAAATCAAGGCAAGTTTAATTGATTACTGATCTATGGTGTTTGACAGTCAAACTTTCATTCTATTTGACATTAATTTTTTCATTTTGCATTTTGTAGTTTTTCTTTTTAATAATATGTCATACACATACATACATCAAAAGTATTATAGTTTTTATATTATGTTTTTTTTTTTCTTTTAATTATTTGCTAATAGCATAGGTTTCTGGCGACATTTAAGAAATTTGCTTTGCAGCCTTTAGCACATTTACAAATAAAACTAATTTACGCAATTGTCCGACGTGTTTTTTTAATAATTTTTTTTTTATTATTATTATTAATAACTTTTTTCTGCTGCTATTTGAATTATAACATTGAATTGTTGATGTTATTATTATTGTTAGCTTATGAGAGGCTTGAGGAGATATATATAAATATCTATTGATGTCACCTGAAGTGATTGCTGCTCTTTCTTTTTTGCTTTTTTTTGTTTGCTGCTTCAGTGGGTTGTTGTTCTTGTTAATGTTGATGTTTGTTATCGCATCTACGATTAAACATTTTGACGAAAATATAAACTGTCCGGTTTTGCGGGTATATGTAAATATGTATGTGTGGTTGGTTTTCTATGTGAGTGAGTGAGTGAGTGAGTCAGTGAGTGTGTCTGTCTTGTCTAAGTAGTGTGTTTTATGTCTGTCTGTCTGTCGGTGTGTGTTGGTTTTAGGAGCTGTTACAATTTCATAGCATTATAACTATTATAAATATATCTGATATTATTTAATTTAAACTTGTTTATATTATTGCGTGTTGTTGTTATTGAAGCTTGTTGCTGCAAGTCGCTGCAGCTGGTGCTTCTGCTGTTGCTGCTGCTTGTGCTGTCGTGTCTGCTGCTCCTGCTTCTGCTGTTGCTGTTATTATTGTTGTTGGTGTTAATGTGGGCGCATGGCTAATCGATGAAACTTTGCTCCACACAGGCTTTCACACGCTTCTCATACTCACGACGATTCTCTTTATACAGCTGAGCGGCGGTAGAATTTGCCGGTGAGTTGGGATTGGGATCGCTCAGCAGTGACTAGAAAACCAATTAAATAGTATTATTATTGTAATCATTTCGAATACGAATTTTATGGTATACACTCACCTGTATAGATGTTAATATAGCTGACACATCATACGTGGGACTCCAGCGATTTTGCAATATATCCAAACATATGCCACCATCTGCATACACGTTAGGATGAAATACTTTCGAAACGAATCGAACTGTTGGCGGTTTATTTGGGTATTCTTCCGTAAATTCTATGGTTAATTTAAAGGTACCATCCTCGAACGGAGTATCGTGTGGACCAAAAATCACAGCATTCCATATCATAATATTATTATCTGTTGGCGCACCCGAAACACCCGTTGGTGGGTCCTCCTGAAGTCTGCAATTGAGTTGAGAAATCAAAAATAAATACGATTATAAAAACCATAGATTGTGATTGTTATATTGCGGTACATCTGTTGAACAAATTCCATATAAATTCCAATTCCATTTTAGAAAGTTTCAAATTGTAAAGGTTGGATAACCATTAAAAATTATTATGTACCTGGTTGCTTTTGTAATGATATAAAAATGTTAAGTTACACTACTTTTTCTTGCGTTTTTGTTTTGATTTATTTTAGCGAAACAAAGCAAAATAACAGAAGCAACTGAACGCTGCGAATCGAAATTAAAAACATGTACATTAATCATTTCTGCATGCCTCTGACGAATAATTTGAGGTCTATGTCCATATATATATATATATATATAGAATGTATATACAAGCATACATGAGTGCCGTGTCATGTTGTTTATATCGCTTTGCCTCCTGGCGTTGCTTTCATTGCTTTCGTTGTTGTGGCTACTGTTTACAATCATCAGCTGCTTTTGTGTGGGTTGCACTTTGCATTTTGGCGAGTTCATTGAGCGGTGTGCGCCAAGAAATTTTTCACTGGAAGCTGCTGCTGTTTATATTTATTTTTTTAAAGGTTCTATATATGATTATTGGTACAGTGATCGCTCCGATGGTTGATACATGAATTTATCAAATAATATTAGTATTAAGTTCCATTTTGCGAGCGATCACTGTATTTTCACATAAGTGGCCGCAAAGCGAAGAAATTTACCAAGAAACTGCATTTCTTAACCCAGATCAACTGGCAATTGACACGTTTCGAGACCCACTCTCTAAGTACTGGTTCCCAGGGGCATCGCAGACACAACTACATATAGGTCAAGCACACACACTCACACGCCGACATACACACGCATATATATGTAAGCATGTGCAACAGCTAAGAGAAACAGAGGAAGCAGCAGCAGCAGCAGAAACAGAAGCCAGCCGCGCCCTTCAATCGCCTAAATCAATACAAAATGACAGAGCCCAAAATGAAATCATCGATTAAACAAAAAAAAAAAAACATACAAAGCAAAGCAAATAGCAAAAATACCTGCCGATAAAAATGCTGATAAACAAAAAGTTTCTGCACTGGGGTATTGCTAGGCTGTGGAGTCATTTGATTTCAGCTGCCTTGGGACAGCCTTGACATTTACTCAAGGAATAGTAAATAAAGACGCACCCACCCTTTAAGTGTGCCTTATGCAATCAAACAGTTAATTTTCAAATATTGAATTTGACAACAGCAACAAAAAAAAAGAAGAAATTTGCAACCAAAAAATAAATGTAGAGCCAGCACACGAAATCATATGGCACAACATAAAGCACTAAAAACAAGCAAAGCTTTGAATGAAATTCCAATAAGAGACGCATGACGCTGCGCTGCTCTGCCTCGCTGCTCCGCTGTGCGCTGCTGCTGTTCAGCTGCTTTGCTGCTCTGCAGCAGAGCATGAGTCAACAAGGTTAAATGTGCGCTCTGCGAATGATGAAATATGGTGAAACAGAGAAAATCAGGATGAAGATGACTATTTTGTGTGTGTGTGGGGAAAATCGGCAGCGCAGAGAGAACAACAATTTGATTATTGTTGCTCTCAGGCTTTCTGCTCTGGTTGGCATTTGTTGCTGTTGCCGTTGATGTTTTGTCTGCGACGCAATTGCACAAACGGGAAAAAGAATTTTTGTACATTACGCTTTGCACCGTTTTTTTTTTTTTGTGCTCTGCTTTGCGCAGATTTAGTTTGCATGCTATTTCTTTTTGTACTATACTTCAAAGTCAAGTCTCAAAGGCGCAGACAGCAAGTGCAGCACTCTTAATGTTGTTGCTATTGATATACTGATGTTGTTATTGTTGTAATACTATCACAAATGAAAAAGAGCAGCGAAAAAATAAGCCAACGTATAAACACACGCACACAAACACAGCTCGCACGCAGGTCACACACACAAACCTAAGCACTTTTTTATTTTGGCTGCGCAAACTTTTCCACGGGCATATGTCCGTACATACATACATACATACATAATTACGGACGTAAGTATGTATACATATGCTGCCCCGTTTCTCCATTTCACATACATCACGACTATTATCAATGTGTGTGTGTGTGTAGTTTTCTTACCTTTTAAAATCTCTCATAAGACGTCTGCGTGCGGGTGTTGACATGTTCTACAATGTTACTACCACTTGTGCTTGAATGTTAACTAGACCGTTTAGGCAATACGTTTTATTATAAACAGAAACAGTGAAATTTTGTAATTTAATTTTTAATTGAGGGCACTGAGCAGCGTAAGAAAATGTATCGATACTTCGCACATACCCAACGATATTATGCTCGATATCGAGGAGACCTGCCAGCTTGTCGATATCGCGTTACGATAACACCAGGCTGTCCACTTAACATTTATACTCCTCCAGCTTACAGATAACTCCGCACTTAACAGTGCAGCTGTTTGCAGAGTGCTGTAAAATTAAATTTAAATTTTAGCACAAAATTTGCTTCTTACGTCCTTCGGCCATCGCTATATATTATTATAAATCGTTTTTTATTTACATAGATTTCACATGAAACTACATCGAAAACTGATTTTGTTAATCTTCCAAAAGTAAAACGAGTCACGGTAGACAGCATACTAAAGCACGGCACGCTGTTAACAGCAGCCAAGCAAATGGTTGGGTTAAAGCTGCTCGTTAACACTTCCATAAAGATGAAAACAAAACCAATTCAACACAAAAAGACGGGCAACAAGAAATAGGTAATTAAAAATTTGTAAATAAAGTAGCAGAGACGGAAATCTTGCTTGTTGTATTATTTTAATTGTCACGATTGATTTGAAGAGAATAATACAGAAAGTTTGAGTTCCTTTAAAGTTTATTTATGAAATATATTAACACTAACATAATGAAATTAACTGTATCACAAGCAATAGCATACAAATTTAAGCACATAGTTTAATTAAAGGGGAAACAATTCATTGTAGGTGAAATTCTCAACAATCTTGGTGGCAATGGCCAGGAACTTGACCTCCAGGGCACGGGCAATAGGCGCTATCACCTCGTTGGTGAACAGCTCAAAGTTCTCATTGATGGTATGGTTGATGACATCCCCCAACACCTTGTCGCCATTGAAGAGATTGTCCAGACGGAGACGACCCTTGCCGGTGCGAATCTTCAGCGCGAACTCCTTAAACTCAAAGTAATCAACGTCGTTCACATTCTTCACATCATAAGTGATGCGCGCGTAGGCCACAAAATTGGTAAAGTTGCCGACGAATGGTCCGCTGCCTTTGATGGGCAACGCCAGTATGTTACCATTAATATCGTATTGACCCTCTCCTTGCAGCAATGGCAGAATCATCTCAAAGTCGAAGCGTTTATTCTGAGTGGAAGCACGCATTTTGGTAATCTCAAAGTTGGATGCACCGTAGACGGTCAGTTTCTTGGCCTTGACCGTAATTCCACTGGAGCTGCCTTCGAGTATGCTGAGGTCACCGATGTACAGTGGCTCCAGGGAGGGCACATTGATTTCCTTGATGCCCTTGACCAAATAGGGACGCAGATTGTGAACGCTCTGCTTGAGGCATTTGGAGAGCTCGGGATCGTTACGATGGCAGATCTGGATATAGTCGGCTATAGTGGATTGTATGAAGTAACACAAAATTAGATAAATATTGTATGATTGTTATTGATTTCACTTACGCATATTGCCCGCATACGTGACGCCAAAGAAGCAGACGAGAAGAGTGGCTGCAATTAATCTGGACTCCATTTTACGCTCAGGAATGTATTGATATTTCTGCAAATAGTAAGTTGGTAATATATCCATGAGCTTTCATATTAGCAATCGAACAGTTTCTTCAGTGTGCAGGAATAAGAATTAAATATTCTATATACAAAAATAATTGAGTCATCTCTGGAACTGAGGCATTCTAATTATTGAGTAATATTTTACTAATCAGGCCCGTTGTCATTTCTTGCCTGCATTCCATTAAAATTTATGTAGCTTATTTGCAATTTATGCCAACTCATCGCCTGTCCCGTTTCTAAATTCTACGCTCGTCGAAGTCACGGCAACTTGTCGACTTTGATGATAAACTACAATTTGGCCGTAGACACGTTTACCATTCACAGCCCAGCTTTGAAATGCAGCTCACAATAATACAATCTATATAATTAGACTCAGTTGTTGATTATATACTTTATAACTAAGGCTAATAAGTGGGATGTTATTTGATGGCGCTTTTCGTTTACGAGACATTGCTCTCTAACCGTAACGATTAGCAACCGCATTTAATGTTGCATAATAATTGATAATTAGTGTCCATAAAAATACCTGCTAGTTAGCGGGAGTGTCTGGTCTGAAGAGCTAGTGAGATGGCTCGACAGTGGCCTAGCTGGGGCTGTCCGACGGGTTGCGGATAGCGAACGGCCACCTATCGGAAGTTAGCTGCGAAACGGAACCGGACAGCCAGCGGTTGTATGAGTATTAACCACTGTACCGACAAAGCGTTTATGTGGCCGCCTACTAAGACTGCTTTCGCTATGGAAGTGTTGTCACCAATGTGCACGGATATCGGCTGGTTTCAATTAAATACTAATCTATTTGCTGCGAAAATTATTGTTCCGTTATGCTGTACAAGGCTGCGATTACCAGGATCGGCGAGGTGTATTCAGCGCACAGTTGGGGGTAATAGATGTTTGGGAAATTCTATCGAGTCTTTGGTCCATAAGCTGGCTACCGGAAAAAACCCTTAGAGTCAAGGGATATTCTGGAGCTGCTAACCAATTGCAATCCAAACATACCCACGAGAGACTGGAATATCATCAAGACAAGGCTTCGCTTGAGGTAATCTTCAAAATAAGCTACGAATCAATTATCTATCTAAGCAGGTATGATGGCATTTTACACTATGGATTGAATAAGATCCATATGCAATTCAACAGGACTTCCTACGAAATCCTTTCGAATTGAGATGCCTCTGCAGCGTCTGTTGACCCGCCCAGCGAGGACGAGTTGGAAGCCACAGACAAGGTCTGACTTCGATCACCAGCATAGGCTACAAGTGATTAACTGACTCTGAAGATAAATAATTGAAGTTCTTGCTATGAAAACCAAACTGTTCCATATACTTTTACTATATAATTCGTAGATTTTTGGTTGCTCACCAAACAAAACGAAAAATATGTGTTCCTGATTCGTTTTGATTGCTTATAGTTTTTTTTTTACACTTTGCTGAACTCCTCACTAAAATTTCTTTTAAGGAACTCACTGTTTTTTTACATTTATTTTTATGCCTTTGATTTGAATTATTATGGAACTTAAACTCACTTTTTACAAACGTTTTAAGTTGTGCTTTGTAAACTGAGGACCGTTCACTGTTCTCGGCTTGACGTATTTTGAAAGTGTTGTGTGTAGCTTTAGTAACCGTCTACAAGTCGTACTGAATGCAAAATTCTAGTCTCGTTCGCGTTTTATAGGAAAAATTACGCTTTGATTTACATGAGCGTAACTGGCGAGCTTAGAACAAGCCATAGATGCAAACGTAGAACCCCAAAACACGTTAATTCCCCAGCGAGAGCGACGCTGAGTGTGAGAGCGACAGTTCGCTGGGGTTAACTGTGAAACGAATAATAATAATAATCTTAATGATCGGATTCCCAGATATATTTGCATATATGTATGCCTGTGTGAAAGCCTGGAAGCCAGCCCGCCCGCCCAAAAAGTGCAACCAGGCTTTCTATTAGGCAAACTGATTTAACGTTGGCGTGCTGTACACAATTAATAGATCTTCAACGCGGGCCCTGAAGTCGTGTTGACAATCTGCTGACTTTTTGTTTAAAATTTGCGTTGCCTGACAACCGTTTTCTTTATGTAATTTGTCAGTTTATCTGGAAGGCAGGCCAGCGACTTTATGACATGGTTCACTGCGATGACAAAGTGAGCTTAAAATTGTTCAACCACACGCAACTGGTCGAGCTATTGCAATTCGATGATACTTATCGTTAGGTCTTTGAAAGAGAGTTTTTTTTTAAGGGTTCAGGTTAAGATTTTGAAACACGAGGTAAATATGATAGAATATATAGAAAATATAAAATTCCAAATTCAAATTGCTTACATAAATATTATAAAATGTTCCTAGGTAATATTCGATGCATGGATTTTTAATTAACCAAACTTTCTTGCATTTTATAATAATAGTGCGTTGTTTGTTCTCTCGTGTTTTAGATTATTCAACATTTGCATGTAGTATTCATTCATTCATTCATTCATTCATATTATAAAGGCCTTCAATTTGTATGTCGGCCCTGACATTGTCGTGTGTCTAATAATAATGGTAACTAAACTGGCAACTCGCAATTTATCTTATCTAATACTTGCATAATAACTTTAATATACTATCAAAAGCTGGCTTCGTCAGTGTATTAAATAAGAAAAGCCAAGGATTGTTTTGACCGGCCGCTTTTATTGAGGAAATGATTCCGATCAGTGTAACAGAATTTAACCTGTTCAGCCTGGAAAAAATATACATAATACAGATCAAATAATGCGTAGTCCATTTCCATTTTATTTTGTATAATTTTTTTTTATTATAGTTCGTAAGTGACGTTTGTGTGCAATAAATTAGAACTTATTATGTAGTACTCGTTAAGCGCAACTTAGCGGAAGACTAATCAATTCAGGTTGATCCATTCGTCAAGGGGAATCTTAGCGAACAGGCGATCCATAAAGTTGCGTATGACGAGGGTCAGTTTGGTGCGAAGCGCTGGTTTCATTTCTTTCAGCAGCTCCTGCGAGTTGGAGTTGATGAACAGATTGAGAGCGGCCTCTGCAACAGATCGAATTCAATTAGTTAAGCCCTGTTTTCTGTTTGTTTTCTGGTTTATACATACGTATTACGGAATTGCCATTGGCAATGTTATCCACTCCCATCTGAATGTCCTTGACATTGAAATCCATTTTAACCGCATCGGTGGTCAGATATGTGCGTCCATCGGCGCCTTCATTGGCCAACGCCTTGAAATAGATTTTGGCCTTGACGCCCTCTAAAATACACGATTTAACCATATTGTAATGAAGTCGGTGAACTGTAAACTATCCTTGAACTGGCAACTGGCAACTGTGAAACTCACCGTACTCGCCCCAATAGTCACCGGCACCAGAGGCCTTTACCAAGATCAGTACACCTGTGGATCGATATTGAGCCTTGACTCGGATGCGAGGTATCTCGCACGTCAGCTGGAACTGCAGCGAGTCCAAGTCGGAGCTGCAAGTGACGACAACGATGACAATGACAATGATAATGGTAGTGGCGATGATAATATATATCTATGTGCTCAAGCGAAAAACTCAAAACTGCCATTTCATTGGATTTGTTAATGTATTTGCATTTTTTTGTTCAATGTCTCACACACTTATATTGTGTGGCAAACTCCACCTCGACCTTCGTTGCGGACACATTTGAGACTCTCGACAAAACAAATCTGGTGCACTCGTTGCAAAAACTACAACTTCAACTACAACTACAACCACAACAATAACAATGACAATAATGACAACAAAACCAGTAAAGAGCCAAACGGATAGCACATACAAAATATGACAGAGAGACCCAAATCGAATAGAAAAAAATGATATTGCAATTGAAACCGGCTACTGTTCGGCAAGAGGCTAGAAACCAAAAGCTTGACATAGAGAATCGCTTTGACCCACTTTTTTTTTGTGGCTATAGACATCTTTGGCACTCGACGCGATTGCCGTTTGCTCACTGCTCAATTCTCAGATCTATGGTAAATGGTTCCAAAGGCAGCTTAGAGGCTTTGGTTGTAATTGCCTCTTGGCAAATTGATTGCAGGCCATGTTTGTCGTTACCGGAAAGTTGCCGGGTGTTTGCGACAGGTTGTTTTTTTAATTGCTTGCGGCTTGATCAAGGACTTAAATGTTGCATAACTTTGAGTGGAAGTCAGCACACTTAGATAACCAAGAAGTTGTGTCACTAAATCGGTTAATATAAACAATATTTGACACTTAATTGAATTTAAACGTCTCGATTTCCAAGTATAAACTTGCGGTAAGATTTTTGTGTCGTCAGCGATAGTTAATTTAAACACTATCAATAATTTTTTTTATCTATTTATATTAATCTGTAATTGCCCATTTGTACTTAAATCAAGAGTTCCCAGCAACTCGCTCTACTAATGAATTTCCATGTCTTTGCTTTATTAATAATTTATAATTAAACAGATTTCCAACTAGCCCAGCCCATAAACTGAAAATGCTTAATTGATTGTGGGGCAATTACGTGCAAAGAAAATCCCAGAAAATGCAAATGTTGAATGCAAACCAATTGCTCAGTATTAAAAGAGAACAGTGTTTGAGCTTGCTTTGTTTGTAGACAAAGACTCTTAAATGCACTCGCAATTCGAATAGCTAACGAGTAATAAACAACTTTATAGATGATTTGAAATTGAGCGCGTGTCTCTCAAATGCTTAGACACGTATTGACTAAATGCCTGACTGAGCGACTGACAAACATGCTAAAAGACGACAACGTTTATAATGTAGGAAGGAAAAAATGAATACTTCAGAGGCTGACTGCTGAATGCCCTAATAGAGTAAAAAGAATTTTCCCATAATTGAGGCTTGTAGTTTGACTAAATTAAATAGCGCTAAGATAATCATGGAAGAGCTTGATCTACAGTTACACTTAGTATAACAGTGAAGTTATAGCCCCTGCTTAATAGTGTACAATTAGTAAGTAAACAATTTAAGCAGCAGGTTATTAGGGGTCAAGACAGTACTAAAAATACTTAATGTGTCCACAGTGCAAACACTTGACTCCTATGGATAAGTATGTATATATGTGCATGTGTTTCAGAATACATACCGTATATTTGTGACTGTTATATTGCTAACGCCAAAGGCCTGAATATTACGGAAAAGTGCGCGATAGCCATCTGGGCCGCTGCCCAGCACAATGCCAATCTCATCAATGACCACTGGCTCAATCTGTAATGATGGACAGTAAGAAAGCAGCTTAAGTTAGGTTTTATCATTGATGGCCTTTCTGGGCATACCTCGTAAATATCCAATTCGGGTATGCCCTTTTGTAGATATTGCACCAATTTGTTGCCACTGTCGCGTAGACATTCGTTGATAGCTGCCTCATCGCGAGGACATTGTTGCAGATAGTAAGCTGCAAGAGAGAAAGAGAAATAGCTGTGATTAATTGCACTTCCCAGTTCATCGAATTTTGCAAACTGCAATGCTCACAGTAGCTGCTGAATCATTCGGTTCGCCACTTTTGTTAATTATCTTTGGCTTAATAGGTTTTTTAGTTTTTCTTTTCGTTTTCGTTTTTTTTTTTTTTTTTTTTTGATGTTTATAAACTTTAATTCAAACATTGCGCATTCGAGTGCAACGAAAATAATTGCATTGCAGCTTGCGCTCGGTTCAAGTTCACATGGCATATGTGTGTAAATATATACATATATGCAACATACATATATAAATATATATACAGTCAAGTAAAGATTCACATATCGGCGGGTAAGATCAAACCCATCAGACAGACGTGAGCATGTGCAGCACTCAATTAGTGGAAACTGATGCGAAAACTTTATTGGGAGGAGGCGAGGCACTTCAAGTGTAAAGGACGGAAACGAACTCAGCTAATCAGATATGGCTCTCGCCAATTAATATTTAAATTCGCACTGCTAATAAGACAAGCTAACTTTATAAGCTTAAGCTGCTTAGTTTAGTAACAAAGCTGTGATCCCCCATGTGATCCACAGACTGACTGTATTATCATCTTCAGGTAATTCTTTGTCTCTCATTACGTATTAAAACTAAAATCACGTCTCATTGAAATTTGATTTTAAGAATAACATTTGTATGACTCTTTTTTATGGTGGCTATAAAGAACTTCAAAAATGTAATCTATATTAAAGTAACCTGTGTTTATGTTTAGGTTTGTGTTCATTATGAGCCTTCTTTTATCGTAAGCCCACATTAAAAATGTGGGATTTTTACATCGAATTGTTATTGCTGTAAAATGATTTGATAAGATAATTGATTCTTGGAAATTATGGCTTAATGCTTAGCCACAACTTTCGATGTTGCTGGCACGTTTCGGGCGGGTAATTAAAACCGAATTGCGCGATACTTAAGCCAAGTTAAGAGCGACGTGGTCGATGTTACGCTTTGGCCTTTTTTAAGAACTGGAAAGTGTCGATGTAACCGCAATAGAAAGCGATACAAGCAATTTGTATCTTTCATTGGCATTACTTACGCTGTTGCTGGGCCCAAATGGCGCCCACTGTGGCCAGCAGCAATATAATTCCAAATTTGTGGCACATTGTTGTTGGTATTGTGTTTTGGTAGGTCTGCATGAAATTACAAGTTGAAATAAATAGTTATGAGCCTTGTTTCACTTTTAGTTTGGTTTCATAATTTATTAGCACGTCTTATTTCGCGTCTTTTTTTGCATATGATAATTTTTTTATATTTCTTTTCTTTCTATGAGTAAGAGCGAAAGCGTTTTAGGAGAATTATTTTGGTTATATTTGTTTTGGTTATTTTCAGAAAACGCGATCAAACATACAATGTATACAATATAAATTTCACTCGGCCCTCGAAATTCTTTCGGGCTTAGCTCCAAAGTGGGTCAAAACGGACCAGTTCGCTTTTGAGTTTTGTTTTTTGTTTGTTATTCTTTCTGGCCACGAAACAGAATAAAACCGACTGTAGGAAATGCTGCTACTGGTTGCTTTCTTTGCGCTGACTGCCGTCCAACTTTCACGCGACTCGAGCGAGGAATGAGCCAACACTGCATTGGACCAAGCCATTTAACCAAAAGCCCAAGCCAAGCCAAGCTGAGCCAACCCAACCAGCCAGTGAGGCGGCCAAAAGAAATGAGCTCGAGTCGAAAACAGAGCCAAAGGCAAAGGCAAAGGTGCAACGCAGCGTCGAACAACAGCCAAACAATGGGGCCACACCCACTGCCATCGTCAACGTCACATGCAACAGCAACGTCAGCCAAGGCATGGATGGGCTAGGGCCGGGACTTGGACTTGGACTGGGACTGGGACTGGGGCTTGGGCAGGGGCGTGAGTGTACCGCTACTTGAAGGTTAAGTTCATGCCGTGAGCTAGTCGGTCTTTGACTCGTCGCTGGAAACCTGCTTGGCCTCAAAAATCAGCGTAATGAGCCGTGCAATGAATCATGAGCTTTATTAGCCCTGGGACTAGCTCTGCTTATCCCTGCGTGCCATGCATTCTCTTCACTGCTCTTCTTCTCTCCGCGAACTGAAGCTATTTTTGCACATGATGAATAGCTGGTAATTGGCGCCCTTTTGTGGGCTAAGCTGGTCGGCTATTAGTGTGTCTAAAAAGAAATGCCTTTTGAAAAGGTCAAGTGCTTACATGTGCCATTTGCCATTAACCAGCTACCATTTACCATTTGTATTGCACTTGAGATTTGCATACGAATAATGACATAAACAAAGGTTCTTACATTTCATTCAGGTAAAGAGCTCAGTTCCATTGTTAAAAAAAAAATATTTTTTTTTTTTTTGTAGAAATCAATCACCGGTATTTATGGCTGCCTTTCAATTGCAATTGCCAAGGAAATAAAAAATGGAAGAACTTTATGTTCATTCAAAGCTCAAATAACGCGTTCTGCATTTCAATAAAGCAAATGACAATTCGTTGGTTATGTGGCTTTTGTTTTATTTAAATAAGAGCTTTATTGGGTAACTCCAAAATTAGCATACATGCTTATAAAGTAAAAAACAATCTTGTAGACGAACAATTTTTGCGGTCACTTGTGGCAACAAAAAACCTTCTGCTATTTTTGACGGAATGTGTTGCATACTTTTAAGCGTGTCTGAAAATTAATTGGCTACACTCGCGTCCCGCATAGTAGGCACACTGCTAATGGCAATTACAGGTTTTTATGGATACGGTCAAGGTTATTTTCATTGGTCATTGTGCCCATTTTGGCTTGTTTACTTATATTCCTTGAAAGTTTACCAGTTGCCAGTTGATATCCTCGAATTGCAATGTGATTAGTGCAGAGGAAATCCAAGGTGACTTGCAGTTGAATACAGAACTCTACTTAATGCTTAATCAAAATAATTAAACAGGAATATTCTTGTCAACGTCATTTGACCTAGAAACTTTAACTTCCTGGATTTTTTTTTAGCATATAAGTGTGTGCCAAAATAAGTTTATTCGTTGTCTTAAAATTTGGGAACATTTGTCGATAAGTTCAGTAACTTCGAGAAACTTGTTTCAATCGATAGTGAAACTATTAATGTGCTAATAAAATTGGAGCTTAATGTAGTATTCCTCATTAAAAGTTATGCAACTTATTAAAATCAAGTTTTATAGAACTCGTTTTCCATAAGTTATGACTAGAATTTTGTTTTCTTCGTTTTGTTTTGCACTTAAATAATCAAGTGGAAATTACTTAGTCTGTGTAAGCACAATTTCAGTCATTATTTAATATGTATGTAGTATTTCAGCAATTATTAAACAATTTCGTATATATGTTCATATGTAGTAATTCCTGTGCGCAACTTCTCGGAATTAATGTTTACAAGTGGGTTTTAATGGCATCTCCTGAACACTATAAAAAAAAAAACGACTCACTCATAATACAGGTAGTAAAACAAAGCCGTCTAATTATTTAAATAACAATGCACCTTAAACAATGGGCTGTAAAAACGTTTTACTATACCATTTGTTATTTATCTATTTGCTCTGGCTTCTCTTTGAACTAATGTATATTTCTCACTATTGTCATTTACTATTTGGAATGCGTATTGTGCCACAGCTCGTCAACTCCCATTGGTATTTGTAAACAAAGTCGCCTAGAATCTTGAAACTTGAGCCTTGTGCGCTGGCACTTCCCAAATCTGTTTAATATTTGTCACGGCCATTGTAAACAATTTAAGATCCGACCGTCAAAGGTCTTCACGCTGACAGTACAAAGTTAAAGATTTGCCTCGGCTCGTGCTCCCCTCCAAAATTGATCTTTAAACGAAACCGAAATCAGAAGACTTTGGTTAAACTTCTAAAAAGCTTAAGCGAGTTTCTTAAAAATGTAACTAGTCTGCTCAATACTTGCGTAGCCGAGTTACATAACTGTTTACATCTGTCATAAATACCTGAATAACCTGAAAAAAAAAATACAAAGTTGTTCACTAAATAGGCCAATAATTGAATACTTGATTGAGAAGTAAATGTGCTCTAATGTGTTATTGAATCTGAGCTTTTATAATTGCGCTTAATAATAAGCAACACGATATGAACATGACTTTGGCATACAAATAGTCAAGAGAGCGATGCTCTATGCTCCGACGATAGAAGATTACAAATTATAGATTTGTCAGGGTTCTCTTGTGGCCACTATGCTATTGGGGGCATTGGGGTCAGACAGTTGCCAGTTTCGCGGAGTTTATTGAGCCGTGACTGAGCTGACTGACTAACTTACATAAGACCGTTGATTGCAACGGGGACAATCACTACTTCATAATGATTTGCACTTTGGCATATCGCTGCAAGAATAATAATTACAAAAATGTACAACAAATTCAACTTTTTATTCTAGAAAAAAAATAAAAATCGAGTTGAGAAAATAATTTACTAAGCATTGCGAAAATTCAAGCGGCAAACAAAACAAACGAAAAATCCAAAAAAAAAAAACAATTGTGTGGACTGAAAGAGAGGCCCACAGCGAAGAGGAAGAGTAAAAGAGACCTTTGGTAAAAAAGTGTCTACTAACACCGGTTAGCACTCGGTAAGTTAGTAAGTCAGCTAGTCAGCTAGTCAGCGAGTCAGCCGGTCGACTAGTCAGCGAGTCATTCAGACAGTCATCGAGTCACGCAGTCGCTGGAAGTTCAGAGCTGCGCTTTGCATTGAGTCAACTTGTCTTTGGAAGGGGGGGCTTTAAAATCAGCCTGCGACGCTGCCATCGTTCACAGTTGTAGTTCTGAGCTTGGGTTCGTTGGACGTCTGCCACGAGCGTCGACATCTAAAGATTACATATATAATTACCCATCGCTTTTAATTGCTATTTGCTGCCAAATTGTGCAAATTAGCCGTTTCGTGTGAATTGTTTTTTGTTTAAAAAATCAAAATAAAAATGCTAAAATACTTAACCATTGTGGCTGCTGTGATGCAATTGACCTACCTCGCACAGGCCGAAGCGCGTAAGTTCTGAACAGAGAAGATCCACTTGTGTCAGATATGCGAACAGGCATAAACAATTGGCACTTGATGAACGTGTTGAACTTGTGATATTTCAATCATCATTTGCTTGATTATAAATATTTTAATGAGCAAAGTGCATTGTGATCTTTACTTAGCACATTTCTGTGGCTACTAATTCAAAGCCCATTAGTTTTGTTTATGATATTTAGCTGGAAATTTGTGCCTTCGACGATGAGCTCAATATTTGTGCACTTAACAGTTATAATTGTTTACATATTTTGTTTTTGAATGTCAAATGTCAAGTTTGATACTATCCATTATAAATATTATATAAATTTGAGTAGTTTACAGATGTCTGAGTGTGTTAATTGCCTAAAATGACACAGTTTGATAAATTGAAGCTGAGCGGAAACCACAAAACTCGGGCAAGGGTCCAAAACGAAAATCAATAAAAACAAAAAAAAAATTAATAAAAAAAAAACATTTGCAATGGCAACAGCAAACTTCCGCATCCATAAAAGACGCATTGAAAATGCAAACTATGAACCAAATCCATATTTAATGAATAAGCGCAAACAAAACGATTTTTAAGCTGCGCAACGATCCGTGAAAAAGCCTTCAACTTGAATCTTAGGCTTTGAATCACTGAGATGCAGTCGCTGCTGGCACTAATGATCACACACACAGACACACTCACAGTATTAATCTAGTATAATGATATGTGACGGTCAAGCTACATAATTGTTGAGATAATACCAGTATGCACACATAATTATATATATAAATATATATTATGTTTGAGACAGGTTCTTAAGCGGCAGCTGCATTTTTAAGGCCAGCAATTTAACCTTGCCAGAGATCGCACTTGTTGTTGGCTGAGGCTGGCCAGCGGCATGAACTTGACAATTTGTTGTCATAACCAATGCTGGCCAGTTTTCGAGTCGTTGAACTTTACTAGAATTAAAATAGGAATTGATTTTGTGTATATACAACTAAGTGATAATTATTGTTTTGTTTTGTTTTGTTCTTTGCTTGCGATTTATTTTGACAGCCGAATACATTAGGCAATGCCGTCGAAATGATCCCAAAATTCTGGACTGCTTAAGCAAAGCTGTGGAGCATCTGAGACCCTATCTGGCCAAGGGTATAGCCGAGATTGAGGTGGGTAACCCTATGAGTCGACTTTTGTGTTGCCAAACAAGTTGCAATTGTTGCATAACATTCAAATGCCAAATGCGAAGAGGCAAATGCAGCACTAGGCTAACGGGTTTTGCGTAATGCGCCACTGCTTGTGGCAGCTGCCACTACAAGTGCGGAAATTGTCGAGACTCGACTGTGAATTTTCCGCATATCGATTCGATAACTTAAATTGCACATTTTGCTGCACTTTTTTGTACCGGTATAAATATGACTCTAATCCCTTGTTGCTGTTGCAGCTGCCGCCCGTCGAACCCTTCAAGATGGACTCGCTGGCCCTACAACTGACCGATGGACCGCAAGGCTACAAGATTACGCTAAAGAACGTGGAGGCATTTGGCGCCAGCAACTTTGAAGTCAAATCACTCAAGCTCGGCGTCAACGGTGGTGAGCCCTTCAAGGCGCGCATCATAATGCCCAAGCTGAAGATCGAGGCCAAGTACACCAGTTCGGGCACACTGCTGATAATACCCGCATCCGGAGGCGGCGATTTCCATGCCACATTCGATGGTGTCACCGCTGATCTGACTGGCAAAACATCGTTGCGTGGCAAGTACTTGCACGTGGATGCCCTGAGTCTCGTCCTGGATGTTGACAAAGTCAACATGAGCATCTCGCGAGCCTTCAACAACAATCGCATACTGCGTAAGTACTTTCAATCGAATGCCACAATATAATAGTTTTTGAAAAATTACTTATTTCTTTTTTTTTCTTGTTTTTAGTGGAGGCCACAAATCTTTTCCTGCGCGACAACTCTATGATTGTGCTGGAGGCTATGCAGCCGCAGCTCCAGAAGAAGTTGGCCACTGAATTTGGCAAACTGGCAAATCAGCTGCTCAAGAACGTTCCCGTCGAACAGTTCTACGAGGATTAGTCTACCAAAGATAAGGACTCTAGCACTAGGCTCTATTAAATTAATTGTAAAATGCTAGTTATCGCTATGAACAAAGTATTAAACAATATACAAAACGCATATACTTTGTGCTCTCTTCTTTGCAAGGTATATTCGGAAGGGACTAAAACATTTACTTAATTTTGTAAAAAGGACTTGCTCTCTTAAGCTATAATTTCGTCATATCCTTAAGGATCTCGAAAGGAGACATATTATTGAATTCACAGGAAAAACATCTTTCAAGTATTTCCCGGTTTAGATAAAACAATTTGGAAACATTTCAAAAGGCAAAAGTCTGTTGATTCGAATAAAACATCGAAAAGATCGAAAGACCTTCAAATACTGAAAAAAGGATCGTGAAAGCATTGATAGAGTTGATCCTTGTCATTATAACGCACCATGACTTTTGAGAGTACTTAAGGATTTGGCCGAATTAGAGCTTATTTTGTGAAAAGTCATTGGAATTGCTTTTTGCGTTAAACTCAAAGTTTGTTTTAATAATTTTTAGTTTTGAAACTATATATTATATGTTTAGCTTGAAGATACGCTTTAAAATTGTAATTTTTTCAAAAAGTGGCCAATGATTGATTTTATTTTTTTTTGGCCAGCCTAAAAGTATGGAATTTATTTGTGGAAGTGACTTTTTAGTTTTAGATGCTGTTTAATATTAGCGGAAACCCAAATTTAGCCGCATTTTCAACCAATGCAAAACAATTTCAAATTTTTTCTTTAATTTATTAAAATATGTTTTTCCGCCTAAAATATTTTTTTGTGAAGTGTTTTTTTTTTCTGAAAAGAGAAATTCGTAAAAAGTCATAATAAAAAATGTATTTATGTATTTATGTCTAAATACTTGAAGAGTAATGTAAAAATAATGATTGAAAATGCATTATACAGAGAGTACTTAAAGAAATTAAAATGCTTATTAAGCACACGATTGAATATTTGAATAGTTTAATAGTTGAGGTCATCGATAGTTTGGATAGTTCCTACGGTATTGTGATCCAATCCGGCTGGCCTTTGTGAAAATTCTAAGAAAATCGGGTTTTTCCCCCTAGCTATGGGAAGAAGTGTGAATTAATGAAGAAATGTATAATTGTTTTAATGTTTCTTTTTATTAAATATGTAGAAGTATTTAGTTTTACAATTGTTCATCTTTAGTTATGTTCGTACACCTATGTACATACGAGTGGCTAATAAGGTTTCATGTTTTCCATTTCATTTAATTGAATTCGAGTGGTTTTTGGGGTGTTATTGTGGCATTAATGGGGGCATTCAGAAAAATAAAAACCAATCTTAAGTTGTACGCTTTTAGTATTGGTCAAAAGTGCTCCTATTCTGCAGTTGGAGTAAGTACGACGACTAATTACTAACTATAGTAAGCTATATAACATTAAAAAAAAACACTAATTATAAATACATCTTTTGAAAGCTTAACAAAAATATGAAAACTGTCATATTTTTTACGAAAATAATAATATATGATCCAAAAAGAAAAGAACTGTCGATCGGTTCAAAGACAAAGCTGAATCGTTTGTAAACCAAGGAAGAGTATTGAATTGAGTATTTTTGAAAATGTTTGCAATTGTACCAGTCACTTACTCCCCAGTTCCAAACATATGCCTTTTAATGAGTACTCTGTATATACAGTTTTATATTGAGTTGTGTTTTGTTGATTTTGTTGTTGTTGGTTCTCTACAAGTTTGCCTTTTGTTGTTGCTTATGTCGCCTTTGCAAATCAGCGATCAACATAATGAATGCGTCGTTATCATATCCCTATTACATAACGAGATTTGCACATCCCAACAAGTTTCAAGTAAAAATCTATATAGTTATACATACATTTCATTTCTACAATGGAAAAATTCTACTATTTTAAATTATTTGTATTTCTTGGGGGTTATGTTTATCATTCTTTATAATTTGATGTTTTTTTTTTTAAATGTATTTATTTTTGTTATGCTTTTAGTTTTAGTTTTAGACTTTGGTTTTTTATTATAGTGAATTTCGGTAATTGGTAATTTTGTTAAAATGTTCGGCCTGGAAAAATTGTAGCTTGCCAAGGCTTATAAAAAAATATGTCCGTTTACTTACTGGCTCATATAAAAGTTGATCATTTGTTGGGTATATCTTTATATGTATATATGTATGCATACATGTATATACGTATGTATAGACAGCTAGTCTGTTTATATAAAAAAATGCGCCGTATAAAATGCCTCGAACAATGCGCTGTCTTTCGGTTTATAGATTTGGTTTTGTTGGATTGGTTATAGGTTAGTTATACATATATATATATATATATATATATATATATATCCATGTTATCCACTAAAAGTATGCCATATTAATATGAATTTTGATTTCAGATTTGTTGTCATCGCAGCCTTCTATTGAAGCCAATTGGTTGGGACTTGAACATCAAAGTGAAATATGAAATGTAAAAAATGGAAAATGTAAAATGTAAAACGTGTGAAACTGAAAACTGAATGTAAGCATATTGAATTGGATCAACCAATCGGATTGTTGAAATAAAACGTTTCGATCTTTGCTACATAATAAACTGTGTATTTTTTGTTTTTATTTTTTCTCACAATGAAATTAGCATTAAATATAATTTTTATAATAAACATAAGAGTTTTGTTTAATGCATAGTTAAATCAAATGCTCGAAAGCTCGAATGCTATCAACGAATTTTATACTTGTTTCTTTATATATATATATATAGACTCGTACGTAACTTGTGCCGATTGCGCGCTGTTTACAAAACTAAAGGTTCCTCGGTGTGTGTGTGTGTGTGTGTGTGTGTTTGTGTGTGTCTGTGTGAGTCGCGTGAATGTGTAACTACAAAATATAATTAGTTATGCTTTATAAGTATGTACTTGTATGTTTAATATTTATATATATATATATATATATATATATGTATATATATACATATATATATGTATAATTTATAGTTTTTACTTGACGTCTGCTCAATAGCTCCCATGCTTACATCTTTGCTATCGTTCTATACTTTTTACAACAAATTACAAATGTTTTATTTTCTTTCAGTGTATGCATTAGCTATGTCCTTAGCTTAGTTGACATACTTTTGCTGTCGAAAAATTGTTACAAATTTTTACTGCTCGTATGTATAATAAATGTATATTTAGGATTTAGTTTAAATATTGGATTATTATTATTTAATGCCATTTTTTTTTCTCAGTATTTTCTTGTTCGATTTTGGTTTTTACAAATAAGTTGGCAAAATAAAATGTACAATTTAAAAAGGTTCCTTTTGACTGCATTGGCAGCATCGAAATTGGTTTTGCATTTGCTTTTCTTTCGTTTATAATTTTTGTATAAAAACCAATCTCACACAAGTCCGTTGTAGTTTCTGATATATATATATATATATGTATATATATATATATATATACTATGCTTTGCTTATATCATAGGTGTTATATGCATTTTTATATAAGTTAAGTTACATTGTTTACAATTGTGTTTTATTTTTCTCTTTAATTTGTAATTTTTAAATGGGTTTTTTTTTTGTCGGTTTAGTCAAAAGTGTTTCGCATGCGTGCAAAAGGTTTTCCTTGTAAAAACTAGCAATATATATATATATATATGTATGTATATATTTATGTAGAAAGCGCTAGTTGCGTCTTAAATTTTACTGTGCTGCTTCCTTCTCCTTCTCTACACACATTTTATTTTACATATACAAATACATGTACAAATACATCATATATATATATATATATATATATATATATATCTATATATATATATACTGTATAAGTATTTAAAATCTTTGCCTTAACTGCAAGTCGTAATCAAGTGCAACACAATACATACATCTAAGTAAGTTTGCTTGTATGTTCTCTCATGTATTATAAAGACCTTGTCTTAGACTAACTACTACAGCTACGCAGCTTAGCGTGTGTATGTATAGTGTACTGTATGTGTCTTGTCTATGTATGTGTGTATGTATGTGTGTGTGTGTGTGTGTGTGTGTTTAACAATGTTGAAAGCATCTCCACTTCCATTGCCTTCTTTATGCAGAACTTGAGAATCTAAATATAGAATTGTTTTCATGTTTATTTTATGATTTATGTAAATTAAAATTATCAGTGCATTGCGCTCTGTAGACAGGCAGTTGGTTGATTAGGTAATAGCTAAATAATTAAAACAAACAAGAAATATCCAAAAATACACATATGCATATAATAAGAGAATTGTTTGCTGCACCAAGGCTTGAAATGCGCTCGGGACATGGGGCATGGGGCATGGGAAAGCGGTTTGGATGGGTTTTTGATGTTGTTGTGGTTTGTCTGAAATTTACACAAAATTATATATCTGCTCAATGCTTGATTTTCCTATATACAAAAACACGACAACGATGACAACGACGACATCGACGACGACGGCGACTCAACATTGAACATGTGCGAGTGTCTTCTGTATAAAAATAGTTCCTAATCAAATTTACAGTTTACAATTTTGGCAAAACATACGTTTTGTGTATGAAGAGCGAAACCGACCAAAAGGTTAACGGATAACAACAAAATGTATATAAAAAATAAAGAGTATAAATTCGTATTACTCATAGTACAATTTTCATATTTGTTTTGATTACTTCCAGTTCAGTTCCCGAATAAGACGTCGCGAAATATTCTAAATGTATTTATCAAAATGTACAAAAATCCTGACTTTTTACAATATCTTAGTGTGTGTTTGTTTTGTGTGTGCTTTTGCTTACATACATACAATACAATCTTGTGTTGGCAATTTACAAGTGTGTTTCTGTGTGTGTTTCTGTGTTTCTTTTGTTTGTTTGTGGCTAAAAACAATTTTATACACTTATACACGGTTAGGGGATTACTAGCACATCGAATGCATTTCAAGCTGCGCAGGAATCATTTACATATGTATATACAAAGATATTTAAAAATTAAAATACGATTAAAATTAGCCAGCGTCAACATGGCTGCTGCCAGTGACTGCCCAACTGTAAACAGAGACCGCGTGCAAGCAGTGCAACATTTAGCGCACTGCTTGTCATCACGCACAGTTTGAGTGTCCTCGCGCACAGCAACCGAGACAGCCAAGCAATGCGACGAGAGATTTTACAAAATATTATAATATTATTTTATGCATTATGAAAGGTGGGCTAACTGAACAATGACTGTAAATTATAATAGTTCAAAGCTGTTGAAATATTTTGCATACATGGTTTTGATTTATTTTTGTTTTGCACACATTCGTAGATGGATTCTGGTGAGTGAGTTGCTCGTTAATAAAAAAAACATATCTTTGAAAAATCATAACTTAAAGACACTTAAAACAAAAATCATAAATCAGTAATCAGTAATCAGTTAAATCTTAGTGGCTAAACAAAAAAGGTTCGGTTCGACGGCCTAAAAAAGCGATTTTCTACAATTACGATATAAATACAATGCGTGTAGTGTAAATATGTATATATGAGTGAGTGTGTGTGTGTGTGTGTGTGTGTGTTTGGGGGGGAGTTACTTGCGACTTAAAAACGAAACAATTTACAAAATACAAATATAAATGTATATATATATATATATGTATAAGTATGTATATAGTATATATGTATAGTGTTCGTAGTAATTGGGGTACATTTTATAATTGCTACAATGCATTGCGTGCTTTTGTTTTTGTTTTTTATCGATATATATATATATATGTATATGTTTGTGTGTGTGAGAGAGTCTTGTATGAGTTTTCAGTGTGTGTGTATGTGTTTATGTGTGTGTTTGGGTTTTCTTTAAAAATATTTAGTTTTTGTTGTCTACAAGCATTTTTTACAAACAAATTTTCGATTAAAATTAATGAGAATTTTACAAAACAGTTTTAAATTTACAAGTGAACAAATTGACAAACAAAATAAATAATTATTACGTTGTTTTACATGGTTTTAGTTTCGTGGTTTTCTTTTGAGTTGGTTGTTTGTTTGTTTTTTGTTTTTTTTTTGTTGTTTTTTTTTTCTTTTTGTACAAAATTTTACATAGCGCAAAAGCGACGTGAAATTGTTGCAAAACGCAACGCTAAAGAGTTCTTGATTGTGTGTGTGTTTTGTGTGTGTTGGTGTGTGTTTTGTGTATTTGTGTGTGTGTGTGTGTTTTCGAGTGCTCTCGGCTGCTGGCTCTATATAATGAAGTTCTTTACACATATTAAATTTGCTCTTTAGCCTACATTCTACAATTAAGTTGTTCATTATATTTATTGTATTTATATTTTATATATTTATATATTTGAAATGGTTGCAGTTAAATTCTATGCTAATAATCATGATCTTCATCTTCTTCATTATTTCATTATCCTTCGCTCTTTCTCTCGATCCTCTGTCTACTGTTTGTTTCGCAACTGAACGTCACGCGCTCTTGTTTAATAATCAAATATACAGTCGATTCACGTACTTAAACATTTACAAATTGGTATTTCTTGAGTTTTTCGCTCATATCTTTTTTTTTATACAAAGTTATTACAACAACAAAAATGTACGTAGACATTTTATCAATTTCTGCTCGATTATTTGATTTTATTTTGTTTATTTCGACAGCTTTTTGAGCCATGTCGCTTTTGTTTTTCACACATCGATTTGACAATTTTCAGCAACGAAAACAAACAAAAAAAAATTGAACACGCAAAAATATGCGTAATTTTTCGTAATTTTTCGCATTCAACGAGTTTATTTGAAACTCATCTGTGTGTTTTTCCGTTTGTTTGTTTGTTTGTTTGTGTGTGTGTATTAGTATTACGCACTTTACAAAAGCGTTTAACATTCATAGTTTATTACAATTGAATATACAAGTTTTCGATTGCTCACAAATTTGGAGCCAAACTCTCAATCTCGAGATTTGAGGATGAGTTTTAATCTTTGTATTCTGTGTGTGTGGTGTTTTTGTCTGCAGTTTTGTCCTTCTGCGTGTTTATAAATAAATTACATTACATTTGTTATCCGTATTATATATATATATATATGTATATGTATATTTTGTATAGTATTTATAGTATGCATTCGCTTTGCTTTTTCTTATGCTCTCCTCCTACTCCTCGTCCTCCTCCTTCTTCTTCATCCCGACACTAAAAACTAGAATTCGATAACGTGTTGCATTTTTTCAAATTTACAGCACTCCATTGGCTGTTGTTGTGGGTGGTCCGATGGGGCCCAGGCCGCTGACCGCCGAGACAGATGACTCCGAGGTGGCCGGCGATGTTGGTTCGGCCATCAGGCCATTGCCATTCTCCTGCACGGCACAGAGGGTGGGCGATGCAATGCTGTTGGTGGTTGTGGTCGCACCACTGGCGCTGGCCACTACCGAGGACGTTGAGGGGGATGTTCCACCGGCACCGGCACCGGCACCGGAGACAGCACTGCTGGCGGTAGCCGGCGTTGTTGTTGCTGTGCTGGCACTGCTGGATGCTCCACCAACGCTGGCCGTGGCGGCAGTAATGGGATTGGTTATCTTCATGTAGTATTTCTCCAGCTTGGCATTGATATGCTTGCCGTAGGTGTATTTGCGCAAGGCGGCCATGTGGGGTCGTATCTTGGTCATCAGCTTCTTCAGCTGCGTAGGTTCCGAAACGTCAATCATCTTCTGTACCACGTAGTTGGCATACTGATCTTTCATCATCACGTGCAAGGCACTGCAGCAGAAGGACAATCAATTATAAATAATGTTCACCTTCTTCTAATGTTCACACTTACTTGTCATTGAATGTGCAGACCTCATCGATGAGGCCAGTGCGCTCGCCCCGTGTGGCATGTGTCACACACTTCTCAACCACATTCGAGGCGAACTTGTGCTGCGATAGCACCAGCACCTTGCCCCGCACGCTGTTGATCAGTATGGATTTGTCCTCCTGTTTGCCATGCTCTGCAAATGCCACAAGAATTAATTCATTTGTCGAATCATCTCATTGCAAATGAAGTTTCAAAAACTCTCTGCTGAAGATGGAGTCCGTCCGTTTAGTCCGTTTGTTTAACTCACCTAGAACATGTTGTATGACATAGTTGCCATATTGATCCTGGATCAAGTTCTCGGTGTGCTCGTGCAGTTCATCCAGAATGGGTGTCGTCTGCTCGGCTGTGCAATGCTCGAGAATACGTTGGATAACCCGACAACCGTAGGGATGTGTGCTCAATGAGTATACCTGACCCTTGAATGCATTGATGACAAATTGCAGGGCAACGGGATCGACGCATTCAATGCACTTTTGCACGACATGATTGCCATTTTGGTCCTTAACACATTTCAGGACATGTCCGTCCAGCTCGTGAACGATCTCTTGCTGCTGATCGGGAGAGATGCTCTCGAGTGCTTTCTGGATCACGCGACAGCCGTACATCTGGAGCGCCAGCTGCAGCACATGACCCTTGACCTGCATGCCCAGATTGTTCTTCTGCTCCGGAGTTCCGAACTCGAAGAACTTCTGAATGACATAGTTGCCAAAGACATCCGTCATCAGGCTGTAGGCGGCGCCCAGAATCTCATTGAAGACCATCTGCTTCTCAGCGGCTGTGGCCCGTTCCAGTTTCTGTTGAATGAACCGCGAACCGTGCTGATCCTGCGAGAACTCCACAATGTGATTGGTCAGATCGCGCAGCTGCAAGTTCGGAAAACGTTGATTCCTAAAGTCCTCCAGCAGTCGCGATCTGCCCGGCTGCGGTGCTCCGGCCGCACCAGCAGCAGCAGCCGCCACAGCGGCAGCAGCTGCCACTTGTCGCGAATTCGCGACCGCAGCGGCAACTGCTGCTGGTGTGGTGCCCGGCATGGCCAGATGGCTCGAGAAGAGCGAACTGTTCGAGCCAAACATATTGTTGGCCGCCGCGGCAACGGCCGCCTGTGCGGCTGCTGCTGTTGCCGGCAGGCCCACAGCCAGCTGCTGACGCTGACGGGACTCGGCACCGGGCGCCCGATTGCCGCCCATCAGGCACGACTGAGCCGTCGGCGGCGGTGTCAGTGGTGCGCCCAACGGACTGGCCGACGCATTCACGCCAGCGGATCCGAGCGCTCCATAAGCGCTGGCATTCGACATGGCCCCGGGCCATTTGGCGCGTGCCGCAGCAGCTGCCACAGCAGCCGCCTGGGCCACACTATTGTTGACCGCATTGGCAGCAACGCTGCTTGTAGTATAGTCCATGGCCGAGGGACTGAAGGCGGATGTGGTGCGATCGAAGGAGTCGCGACGACCGGTCAATGAGTTTGTGTTTAATGCCAGGCCTGTGTGAAATATATATAAAGAGAGAATTTGAGTTTAGTATTGCGTATGAGAGATGTGAGCTAACAAGAAAGAGAGAAAGAGAGAGAGACAGTTTCAGAGAGAGAAAGAGAGAAATACAGGGAAGAAGATAGATAATAGTCGTATTGCCTATTTTGTGTACAAAAATTAAATGTTTCATTTATCTTTTTTTATTTTACATTACTATTTTCATTTGTAGAACATTTGAAGATTGAAAAGATGATGAAGATTGAAAAGATCTATCCAATATTAAGTGATGCAACCAGAAAGTTTCAATAAACAATTTTGCATTTAAAATAATTGTAATAGATGCTCTCAAAGCTCAACTAGATGGCTTGCAGTTTAAGAGAGACTAGCTCACATTTAAGTCACTATTTATCATTAAGTCGAGTGGGTCATAAGGGAAGGAGACATATAGATAAACAGAGAAAGAGAGGGAGAAAGAGAGATGGGGACGAGTACAAGTAATGGCAGAGTATTCGCTATTTTGTAATTAATCGAGTTACGGCATCGTCGTCGTCGTCGAGCGGAAGGCTCTTACTGTAGGCACTCATAAACTTAATTGCCTAATTTAAGGCACAGCTGTGCCGTTAGTTTTAGTTGCAAGGCAGGCCAGGCAGGCAGGCTAGCAAGCATCAAGTGTGTAAGTGGCCAAGAGAGAGCTGGCAACCGACAAGAGGGCTGCCCACTTACACATTTAACTAGTAGAGAGAGAGAGAAAGAGAGAGAGAGAGAGAGAGGGGGGGTGGGGGGGGGGTGAGTAAAGAGGCCTAGTAGTCGTAATGTCACCCATTAAGGACGCACATATGCGCTCCAAGAGTTACACATACAGCAAAGCTCCTGGGATATGTAAAAGGATATACAGAATGAGACAGGGAATATAACGAAAACACAGAACAACAGCAGAATAGCAGCAATAGCAGCAACAGCAGCAGCAAGAGCAAGGGCAGCTAGTTGCGAAGGCTGCCAACTTGATGGATGCTGTAATATGTCACTGGCATTGATTCGCCCAGAGCAGTCGAGCAAGATGAAAATGAGTAGAAATTTACAGCCTGACAAGACGTGTGTGGCAGGCATGCAAGGATGAGGCGGCAGCAGCAGCAGCAGCAGCGGTGCAAAAAGGTGAAAGTACACAATGCTGTTTGCCACTTGCAACTTATATTTAAAGAACCGACGAAGGCAACTTTGCACCCAAATTGAATTCATTGCCTGCTGCCCGCTGTTTGATGCCTGCAGCTGCATGTGCCACACAAAGAGTATGCGGCTGTAAAGGCTTGTGGTCTGTTAGCCCAGGGATAAGGGATGCATGCAGCTGGTTCTTGCTGGTGCCACAATGATATACATATTTCATTACAGAGATTACAAACTGTGGCGTTCTTTCTGAACAACTAAGCGCTAAAGAATTATAATTGCATGAAAATTGCGAAGGTTTCCGAAACTGCAATAAGATAACTCAATTAATTAGTTAATAATTATGAAATATATGCGCTTATTTTGTGTCTTGAAAAGTTGAAGCTTGCCATGGAAAGGGGGAGGGAGGGAGGGAGTGTTGTGAAATACAATGCTTAATAAATGACATCAGCAATTGGCGAGTCGACGCGTCTGCAAAAGTTTTTAAGTTTTGCATTTAAATTGCAACTAATTTGACGCACTTCAGTGACGCGACTGCTAAATTCCACTTCAAATGCAGGCAATGAGCATGCAGCCAGTAGGGGGCAAGTGGGGCAGATGGTGGGAGGGAAGTGGGGTTGAAATGGATTATGTAGTACAAACAATTTGCGTCAATGAAAGTGTCGAGTGGGCGGCCTCAGAGTGTATATAGAGTATATATATATATATATATATCTGTATCTGCATATATATACATATGTATTGTAAGTGGAGGGTTAGAAAGAGCGGTACTCTTCTGGTTTGGATGTTTGCCAGTCTGTTTATTTTATTTGCTGTGCACCATCATGCCCAGCATGCCCATCAGACGCCTGACACCCCGCCATGGGATGCTGTGGATTCGGTTTGCCGCGTGGTAGTTGCAACAATTTAAAAGAGAATTATTCATGCAATTTGTGTCTGTGTGCATGCAGCGACGGGGGGAAAGAGATTGAGAGAGTGGAAGGAAGGATGTCGCTGTTGCAGTGTGAGTGTGTGTATCGCCAGTCGAAAACAGTCATAATAATTAAGAGAGGAAACTAAACTACCTTACTGCCTCTCTGACTGTCTCTCTCTCTCTCTCTCTCTCTTTCTCTCTTGTGAGTGCATGCATTGCCTTCGCAAGGACACTTTCCCAAACGATACTGCAGCCTTTAATGCTGCCTCACACATCTGTTTGTGTGTGGCATTAAAAAGACGCCCCCGTTTATTGCAGGCGACATTTTGTGGTTTTTGCACACGTTCCACACATGGGCACAAGCTGGGCAAGCTGATGCCACCTCATAGTCGACACCGCCTTCCCCCTTCCCCCTTCCTCTTGTGACGCATGCCCAGCCTAATGTAATCATTTACATGAATTACAAATGCACACACGTGTGCAATATACACATACACCTGAGCTCATCACACTCGCACACTCGCACTAAAAAAGAAAACGCATTAAAGAAAATGTTCAAGTTATTTAAATGCCCGGAAACTATTTGAAACTAAGGAGCAGCTGGCAAATTTGCGTGCTAAACACAGATGCATTTTTAAGAGCCCTACACAAAAATATAATTAATGTTTGAGCACCAGCGACCATAAAAATAAAGCTTTCAAAATTAAATGCAATATGGCATGCGTGTGTGCGATGAGTGCTGTGAGGCAAGCAGGCAAGCCAGCAATTTGAGTGATACTTGAGAGATACTCTTGTTGTATCTTGAAGATGCATCTCACACAACATTTTTAATGCTCACAAGTGTGTGTGCTGTGTGTGTGTGTGCTGTGTGTGTGTGTGTGTGTGTGTGTGTGTGTGTGTGTGTGTGCTGTGTATGTGTGTGCTGTGTGTGTATGAATTTATGCCACTTTAGTTGCAGCATCTTCGGCTGAACATATTTTATATATTCATCCATATTTTACGCTCAGCTGGTTAGGCTTCAAAGGAATTTTATTGTGGTGTTTCTCAATCTATCTAATATTCCATTTATATTTACATATCTTTAATATAAATAAAAATAAAATCATTATGCACACATATTTACATAAATATAATGCTGATGCCAGCGACAATCTTACTTTATCGGATTCACTTTAAATAATAGCATCGAATATAAATGTACAATTGCCTCGAGCATTTATATAGATATTTTCGAACGATTTTTGGCTAACTAATTGGGTTTAAAGCGTGTCGCTCATTTAATATCGTTCCGCATACGCCATGTTGTACACGTCATTGGGAATTTTATTAAGCGCAAAATGCAACAATTGCCTGGATTTTGCCCCCCTCAAACACACACATACACACACACACACACACACAGTAGCTGTGCTGTTGCCTTTGAGGCAAGTGTCAGGCAAGTTGCTGCTGGTGGTGTGCCACTGCATGAGGCACAAAATCACTCAGAAGCTGACATTCCTGCTGCTGCAAACACCCCCCTCTCCACCCTAAATCCCAGATACTGCTGCTGCTGCTGCTGCTGTTCGTCTGTGGCCCAACAGCAATTGACATTTTACAAAATAAACGAATTCATTTGCACAAAAGCCAGCAGCAGACGTCTGCACAGAACACAACAAGAAGGATAACAACAATATGCGCCCTCTATAACATGGAGAGAGACGGAGAGAAAGAGAGAGAGAGAGGCAGAGAGAGAGAGAGAGAGAGGCAGATATGAAGCTTATGTGTATGTATAGTGGTTTTGGTGTTGGCTTTGGGCCTTGTGTAGCTGTTGCTGCTGTTGTTGTTGTTGTTGTTGTTGTTGTTTGGCTTGCTTTCACTTTCCCCCAAATGCAATCACATGTTGCCAACATGTGAAAGGTGTACATAACAATTTGTGGGCATGGCAAGACAAAAGGCAAAAGCAAAATCCTTCTTGACTGGCAGCCAGAGAGCCGGGCCGTTGTACCCGTACCCGTACCCGTACCCGTGCCCCTCCCCCTCCACCATTCCACCCAATCACTATTTTGTGGCATGGTGAAATGGTTTGGCGGTTGCAAAGTCAAGCTATGCGAGTTACACACACACACACACACACACACTGTTCCCCCATGTGCGTATTAGCGTTTGTAATTGCAGCTTGTCTGGGCACAGGCCTCTGCCAGTGGTGAGGCTGAAGAGGAGGGTGGCCGGGCGGTTGATGCTGCTTGCCCAGCCACTTAAAACAATATAATCTCCATTAAAAAGCTTTTTGACATTGCATGCAGACACACAGTAGAAACCCAGGAGCAGCCAGGACATGACTCTGTGGCCTGAGCTGTTTGGGCGGCTACTGTGACTTGTGCTCGAATGAAGGGGCAGGCTTTCAATTGTTGTCTTGGCGCATCGATTGCAGTGCTTCGGTAATGAGCTGTGAGCTGTGAGCTGTGAGGATGGATGCCAGTAAGCGAAACTACCATTTATGGGGAAGATGGACGGATGGCTGGCCAATTGAGAAGCGACTCACTTGCGTTAGTGCTAATTGCAATTGACTTGTACATCAACTTGTCTGTGTCTGTGATTGTGATAGTGTGTGTGGGTTGCATCTGCTTAAGAGCAGGCACAGGCACAGGCACAATGCTCGAACCACACGCCAAGAAGCAGTTCGCAGTCAGCCGTAGCACAAACGGCCGTTGGTTGTGGATTGGCATCGTTTGAATGTCAAGATGGGCGTAATGACAAATGCACTTAATTGATTTTTGACTGATTGTCAGGCCCCACAGAGAGATGCTTGAGTGGGCCTCGCATATGTAGCAGTAGCAGTGAAAATATGATGCACGTGTGACACACTTTTGGTCTTGCCGAACTTTAAAAACAGTTCAACCCGAGCCGAGTTTCGAGTCCCAACTGAATATTTTCAAGTTGATCAATTTAATCATTAACAGAATTCCATAAAATCCAATTGCAACACGAAATGCTGTTTGCACACACGGCTGTTGCATGCTCTGCTCAAAAATACCTTAATGGAAACTGCAGTCATATGCCAGGAGCGGAATGAGTCAGCGGAAGCGGAAATGCGAAAAATATTGAGAGAAAAAATGCTCATTAAAATGGCATATGAAGGGAAATTAATTAACGAAATAATGTGCAAGTTGAGCCATTACCGAGTTAAGTGAGTTAACTGAGCAAAATGTCGAAAATGTGATGCCGCAAATGGCCGACTGTGAAATGAGAAATGGCAATTGGAAATTGGAAATTGGTTGGGAATACGAACTTTTCGTCCATTAAGCGGCATTACGTGTGGTCAAATTGATTTTTACTTTGGGTCGTAATATACTCCCGTTTCGGACCAATAATTCAATAAGCGCTTAAATGTCGACGCTTATACACGATGATTCTACACACCAGCAGACCGACAACAAATAAATATCATCGTTTAAATCGTGGGCGCCATAATTCCGGGCAGCAATTTACCAGCAGCGAAAGCTGAACAACTATTTTACAGCTACAAAATTAAAACTTTTCATTGCGCTCCGCAACAATTTCAGCAGCTTTCGAATAATAGAAAACGCCACGGGAGTTTTGGAGGAGGGAGGAGGGGAGGAGGGAAGGAGGGGTGAGTTTGCTGGCATCTACAAAATGGTATTCAAGGGGTGAGCTGCTATATACAAGGAAACTCCGTCGAAAGTGTAAACTTTCATTGCCTGACTGCCGTTATTAATTATAATTTGAAATTCTATAAATTTACAACAATTGCCAACAGCAGCAGCAGCAGCAACAGCAGCAACAGCAACAACAATAAGAACAACAAACAAATACAAATAAAGCTCTTTGTAAAAGCCATCAACGTTTTGCATTGCCAAGCTTCGAGCTTCTGGTTACCAGCTCTTCCCCTCTTGCCAACACCCACACACTTTTTACCAACAAACACAATTCCTTTAGCTCATATTGCAACTGTTATTTTTGAGCACGAAAACTAAACAGAAAATACACTCGACTCACACAAACACCCAAAAATTACACACATACATACATACATACATATACATAGACATATATACATATATATATATATATAGATATACAAAACAGTGTTCTGCGTGGATAGATGATGCTTGAATTAAGTTTTTGAGACCGAGTTGGAAAATGCCATAGGCAGGAACCTGCTCAGGGCGCTGTCAAGTATTAATTTCAGACATTTTAAGTTTTATGTTACTTTCTAATTACCATATTAATTAAATTGCTATAATAGACTTAAGCCTCTACAAATAATGTATAAATGCTACTCGTTAATAATCATAAATATTAATAAACAATAATATGTATTAAATGACACTGCAGAGGGCTCAGTTTGCTTGCACGGCATCATAAAATATGGAATATGTGAAGGGTTGTCTTACTTGCAAAGTGCAGAGTTTCGTTTCGGCTATTTTCAGCAAAGTCAACTAATCCGCACACACACACACACACACACACACACACGCAAACACACTTATAGTCATATTGCATGATTCAGAGTCGACGGCTGACAGAGTTAGTTGCATGACAAGGATAACAACAACGTTGTTGCAACATTTGTGAAATAGAATATTTTGTGTGCTTTGCATGCTTTCAGTTGCATTTCAGTTTTCAGTTTGTTGTTGTTGTTGTTGTTTTTATTGTTTTTCTTTCCGTTATTTTTTTGTGCATTAGATATTTATGAAAGCTAAGAAAATTTACTGACAAAAACATTTGGTGTTCGTTTATTTGGTGGGTGTGTGTGAGAGACAACAAAACAGTTGGTGTTCCGCTTAACTGTTATAGATGTGTGTGCGTGTGTGTGTGTGTGTGTGTGTGTGTGTGGGACAACACAAACTGTTTGTCATGCCCTTCAACGCAGTGTTACCTAACACTGGTTTAGTAGAACTTATAACCCGCAGTTGTTTGTTCAAATTTAAATGATTATTAAAATAATTGAGTGTTGCAATTAAAATTGTTCATTGCTATAGCTGACTCTGCTCCTGTTCTACACTGTAATTTTATACTACTCTTATATGCATAAATAATATATATATATATATATATATATAAATTATAAATTTCAACTAAGGATATCGGACACCAAACTTTACTCTATTTTATTATGTAGCACTTAACTGATGTGCCTCACTCACAATTGCAATTGTAGCGCAATTGCAGACACGCAACATATAATAGAAATGGAATTTGAGATTATAAATTGCATTATTTTGTTATGGCTGAATAATATGCTGACATGTTGGAAGTTGGAAGTGGGATGGCGTCAGGCCATAAGCACGGAATGCGTCAAGTGAAAGTCTATATAACATTATTTATTATAATTGCTGTGATATACACAAAATGGATTTCGAGGCTCTTGTCTTCGTGGTATTGTTTTGGGCTGTAAGTAATTGTTGTTGTTGTTGTTGTTGTTGTTGCTGAATATATTTACGTTAAGCTATGGAATGTTAGATAGATTAATGGCCATGCCAGAGTTAGACAGTGCTTATATATGTATTTATATATATATATGCCAGATATATACACATAGATGTATATATATTTATATATATAGATGGGTATGTGACACACTTTACAGGCTAATTACAATTGGGGTTTAGTGTATGGATATTTGTGGGGGTTATTGTATGCAATTTGGCTTACCTCCAACGCTGGAACCGTTCTGCTGTGAGTAGAGATTCTGTTGGGCCGTCTGCGGCTGTGGTGGATACAGTTGTGGACCCTGTGGCGGCGGCGGACCGGCGCGTGCTGCGCCCGGTGGCACCGCCAACACGGGGGCGGGGCTAACCAGACGCATGGGCGTGCCGGTGCGTGGTCCCATCACGAGCGAGCCACTCTGATCGAAGAAGGCCGGTATGACCTTGGATTTCAGATTTCAGATTTCAGATTTGATTTTTTTACACAATTTGCATTTGATTTTTGTTTTTTTGTTTTTCATTTTTTTTACAGGGGTTAGCATTTGATTTGGTTTTTGTATTTTTGGTAGTTATGAAGCATTTGGTTTTTGTGTTTTTATTTGATGTAGAAAAAGAAAAGAGAGAAAAATACAACGTTTTAGGTTAAGTTGTAGGTTAACTATACAAATATATAACTATATATATATATATATAAAACTCCAACATTAAATGCGTTAAATGTGTACAAGAATTTACACTGATTTTTACAGCCCCCCTTCCCTCCCCGATTTTTATATATATACTATATACAGAGCTGCTGATGTCCCCTATATTTCGTAGTAATCCCTTTCCCGATTTGTGCTCACCTGATACGGCTGATTCTCGGCGCCCTGCTGCGAGGGCGTCAGTGGGCGTCGGGGCTGTGTGCCCTGCTGGGGTATCAGATTGCCCGGGTAGACGCCCCAGGGCGCAACGCCGTAATACTGCGGCATTTGAGTGGCAGCAATCATGTTCAGATACGGCGCCGCCTCTTGTCCGGGATTCATGACATACGGCGCTGCCTGCTGTGCCGCATATGCTGCATTCTGTTGTGCCTGTTGTGCGGCCAAAAACTGTTGCGACACGGCCGCCATTTGCATCTGTTGCTGCTGCTGCTGCTGTTGCTGCTGTTGCGACGCCTGCATTGTGCCATTGGGTGCACCTGGTGGTGCGGCACCGGCCGCGGCCGCTGCACTTGCCGCCGACGTGGCAGCGACCGCAGCCACAAAGCCCTGATTCTGTGAACGAAAGAGTTGCTGCAAAACAGAGAGAGAGAGAAAACAAATTAAGTTGAGTTGAGATAATTATTGTATTACAAAGTTTAGATTAGCGACAAATGCTGTAAGTGCTCTTCATTTGTTGAAAGAAGTTAAAATGCTCCCATTTCTAATGATCTTCAACTTTAAGTTTATTCCAGTAAGTTCTACTTATACAAAAATGCTATCCATATATGTTTAAGCTTTCAATAATAATAAGGGTTTTCCCTGAACAGTTTGTTCAGCTTGCAAGCAATATCTTTCAACTTTTTCTTGGTGTTTTGTCAACCTTTCAACTTCAAGTCTAGTCATCAACTTAGATGTACTTCAGACTTTAAATTAAAGAAGAAAAACAGATTACAACAATCGCATCAGTTTGCGAAGTTTTCATAACAAGCTAAACACTTGAAGTGTTTTCATTTCCCGCGTTTGTTATCTGTTCTGCTCTGTTCTGTTCTGTTCTGTGAGGCGTGTAAATCATTTAGCAATTGTTGTTGTCGGCTCAGATACAGATACAGATACAAATACGTATACAAACACATAAAGCTTCCAGTGCCAATTTGTCTTGTTTGGGAGGGAATCTGTGTCGCATAATAAGACGCAACAATCGTGTCATATCACATGTATCTTGTATGTGCATCCTTGAGTCCTGTGTGTACTGAACAGAAAAGAATGTAATAACTACGACGCAGGAGAGCAGCCAGCTCTGTGTTGTTCTAGCATTGGGAAACATGATCAAGTGTTTTCAATTGGAAAATTAAATCAAATCCAATCAAATCAGCATGTGATATCCAGCCGACAAACGAACACACACACACACACACACACACAGAGAGATACAAGATACCTTTATATAACAAGTATGCACAGGAAAGTTACTATAGAGGGAAATAGGGAACACAACATGGCAACGCATGAGTGAATGCTTTTCTCTTCTTTTTTCCGCTTTATTTTTTCTTTTTTTTTTCAAATGTCTGCTGCAGTGTTGTCATATCATTGCCAGGAGCAACAACAACAGCAACAGCAACAACAACAACAATATCCATTCGGCATAGAAATGGTTGTTGGGCGTAAAAGGCGGAAAAAAGTGTAGCCCTTGTGTTGGGCGTGTGTGGTGTGGTTTACAGTAACTTTAAGTGTTGGCAATTTAAATTGACACAGCCCTGCACAGCACAGCACAGCGCAGCAGTTGCAATTAATGAAAAGCCACTTGACAAGTTGGCATGCCCAATTGCAGACTGTAAATCCATTCGAGTACCGACAGCATTATACAAAAACTAGTGTTAAAATTCGACGAGTTGAATGAGCCGCATGAACGCAACACTTTAAGGTGCAAACTGTACTTCAACACAGGTGGAATTGAGCGAAAGTCTTCAGAGAGTTGAGTGCTGGAAGAAGTGGTAAAAATCATTTGCTTTAAATATTCAGCAGCTCAATTTCTCGCCGTTTGACCGTATGGCTTTACTGAGACGTTCGGCCATAAAACTAACAAAGTGGCATTTTTAGCATTTGTTCCCATCGGACTTCTGTCAATTGTTTACATGCGAGAATTGCGAGAAGCGAGAAACGAAGCCGCCAAAGAGCAAACATACGAAATAACAATGGCAACAACAAACAGCGCTGGGGAGCAGCTGCTGTGGGGAGCAGCAGAAGCGGCAGCGGCAGCAGCAGCAGCAGCAGCAGCAGCAACACCACCAAAATGAGCAACGAAAAAGCAAAAGAAATCAATGTGAATTATTGATGAATGGCGCAGCGGCAGACGCAAAATAAAAGCATAAAAACCATCACGAATACGAAACGTGGCAAAAGATTGCAGAACTGAAATAATAATACACAGTCACACACACACACACACACACACACACACACACACACATACACACACTCGCACACAGTGAGCACTTGGCAAACTTGGGCACGCAGCGATAAAAAGGCAAATATCATGATGCATACTTTGAGGCGCGTGACGCGTTGCCAACTCTCCGCTCTCCGTGTTTCGTTGTTCTCAACTCTCCAGTATCCACTATCCACTCAGCACTCCCCACTCACCACTCCCCACTCACAGTGAACTCACACAGCGTATAAAATAATAATCAGAAACCAAATAAGCGCTGAAATCTGAACCCGGCCTCCTGCTTCCTGCTGCCTGCTCCCTGCTGCCTGCTCCTTGCCACCCCACCAACCTTCCAGCCCACACTTTGGCGCACGTTATTAAAAGCGAAATTGAAAACACACAATACCAAAAAGCGAAAAAGCGAAAGAGCAACAGGAGCAACGCAAAAAAAAAAAAATAAAAATTATGTAATTTCACGCGCGCTAAAGTACGCAATACTTTTTGATTCTAGAGTTGCCAAGTGACTCAAGTTGCCTAACAACAGCTGACAGTTGGCACAGTGTGACCAGTCACATTCACAGCCACATAAATTGACTTTGTTTGCCCCCACACAGCACTCAGAGCACTCACAGCACAATCCGCTTGCAACAAATGCCACAACATATAATTTAATGCTCGCTTGCCTTTGCCCATTTGCTCAGTTGCCCAGTTGCCCCTTCTCTCAAGTGATTTATGCAAATAGGCGTCCAGTGCGTAATTTGCGATGCACAAGCAAGAAGCAGCAACACATCACATTTATCGGAGCCGAGTGCGCATTATATGGCCTATAAATGATAAGTTTATCTGCATGTGTGCACTGCATGAGTTGAGCAGTTGAGTTATGCTGGAGCAAATGCCTCAAGTTGAAGGCCACTGTTTGGGGTTAGTTTAACGGATCAGTGCTGCCACCTTTTACGTTGAGGAAATATCAACAAGTTATGCGCTTTACAGTCTCGCGTGGCTTCGCTCTCTTTTGCATGCCCTTGTAGTAATTTGTTAGCCATACCAGTTGCCAGTTGCCAGTCGGCAGTCGGCAGTCGCCCGCCCATTGTCCACCACCCCAAGAGTTGGACATTTTTTATTTCATTTAATTTGCGCATTACATTACAACATTTGCCCAGTTGCGAGCGAGCGGGTCTTGACTTAATAAGCTCCCAGGTGTACGATTTTCAGCGCTCGACTCGTAATGGAAATTATAGCTGATGTCATACACTGGGGAACTCCGCCCTCTCGCCCGCCCCAACATTACACGAAAGTGAGTCAACTCCCCGCTGCCTTGTCCTGCCATATAACAAACAGCCACGGCGGCAACCCTAACGTTTTTTTTTTTTGTTTCTACCCCTAGTCGCTGCTTCTCGCTTACTTGTTGCAATTGGGTCGCATACCGACAACAACAACTTCAGAGTCCCGTCCCTTAATGTTGTTTTCTACTGGTTCGCCTGAGTGGATTAGTTGTTGTATTTACCAGCAGCAGCAGCAGGAGCAGCAGCAGGAGCAAGTTGGAAGGTAGGTGGTAGGCAGCTAGTTGATTTATAATTATGATGCAAAGAAGACTACGATGACTGCCACGAAACCAACTCCAACTAGTACAATTCCCATTTCGTAACCATTTCCATTTCCATTACCATTTCAAATTTCAAGTGTACTACTACAAAAATGTTCTTCAACTGCATTTCATTGTTTTACCTTTTGGCTAATTGAAAAAGTGTTTCTTTTTCGAGTGTAGCCTAAAGCTGTAATACTTATTGAGATTGTATTACTGAAGTTTTATGGGCTTTGAAGATTGAATTCAAGCATGTTGTTAATGGAGTTGTAATGTCAAAATGTAGCTATGAGAAATGTTAATTACCAGTTAGTTTCTATTAGCGCTTAATGCGAGTTTACTAGTGGTAACAAATTATGCGAATTGAATATTTATGCATCAAAAGATGCTCTCTTTTTTTATTGTTTGCATAGAAAAATGCTTGGGGAGGCTCTTCTTGACATTTGTTTTATTTTATAACTTCTAAAGCCTTTTTTCTGCTCATTAAAAAACATTGTCAAGAAAAACTGAATGAAATATGAATAAATAAAATCAATTTGAAAAGGTTTGCTCTATTTGAAATGAGGTAAACAGAGCCGAGTTTGACAAAGCGCAATCATTTTTCTAGCCGACAAAAATGGAACAAAACAAAACAAAAAAAGGCTACAAAATACTTGCTTTCTGTTGGCAGCTTTCAGGTGTGCCATACGTCAATGTAATGTGGGCGTGGACCGGCTCTTTAATTGAATTTCAGGAGCAAAAAGTAATTCAATCGGCTGGGCCAGACGTTGCCAGAACACTCTGTATATATATATATATATATATATATATATATATATATGTATTTGTTATGACCATTTCAGGCATTTAAAAAGCTATCCAAACCGAAAACACTCACAGACAGACAGAGGCAAATGAATGCATGAAACACACACACAACACACATAAGAAAAAGAAAACTAATTGACTTTGTAATAGTTGTGCAAATAGTATGGTGCAAGAACAATGTTGAGACAATCGAAAGTTTTAGTATAGCGCAGAGCACACCCCCAAATATCTTAACGCACAACTTTTTCCCATTCTCACTTTTATTTTTGGCACAACTTTTGGCATGAATTCACACCAGCGGCTCCCTGTGCCTTCGCCCATGGATGGACACGCTTTGGGGCAACTTGTTTGTTACGGCAAATAGTTTTAATGGGCGGCGGTTTTAACGGCAACTTTGCCAGAATCTGCGTGAAGACAATACACACAAAAACACACTCACACACATAGCCCCAATTTGAAGCAATTTGTTATGAAATGCCAAAAGGACAGACGAGTCGAGGGAACGGGGCTAGTGGGAAGTTGGCAAGAGGCGCCTCTCTCTATCTCTCTCTTTCTTGAGTGCGCCAACTTTGGCTGGGCAATTTGCAAGCCAATTAAATTTGACTGCTCTTTGGCGCGCAATGTTCGGTATAACAAAATAAAATAAAAAAAAAATACAAAAAAACTGCATAAATAAACACTTTCAAGCTATGCCACACTCACTCAACCTCTACCACATCCCCCTGCTTCACCACTGGATATCTCGCGCTACTTTGTAATTTCGTGATTGCGCATTTA